AATGGAGTGCATCAAACTTTGTCATCTAAGGAAACGAGAATGTGAAGGAAGAGCTGGTTTCATCTTTCCCAGAACAAAGGTAATTACTGGAAATAGAGCGGTAACTCCCTGATGCAATCTATCCATGGAAATGCCTCTATTTTGGCTTGGTTGAAAAGACTCTCGTCAATTCAAATTAAATTGAGATAAACAGAATTAAGGCAAGTGTTCATTTCGGTCTGGAATCATGCTTAAGCTTAAAATGCTGAACATTTCTTTGTAGACCAGCCACATGTTCCCAAAGAAACCTCATAGAACAGCATTTTTTTTTTTCCCCAAACCAATTGTTCATGCAAATAGGAAGAGATTTCCACTCCAAGAGTGGTTCCTAACAAGCCACATCATGCTGTCATACCTCAAGTTGGACAGAGCTTGTTTGCACGTAACATTTGTAACCCTGCACAGGAATCAATCAGCTACTCAAGTAGTCACAGTACCATTACACTTGAAAACTGAAATTAAAATGTTGTTTTATATAACTGAGTTTTTTCTTTCTATTCTTATTAACATTGCAAAGATCTTTAACATCTAGCAGTACCCAGTCTAAGCTCAGGATGCCTGTGTTTCCAGAAAACTCAGTCCCTGCCCTCCTCCTTCCACTGGAAGCAGGTGGAACTGTGCAGTCATCAGCAGCTGAAAACAGTGCCTTGAGTAGCACAGGTCACCTTATTAATTAGCTTTGCTGTGATTCCACAGGCATCTAATAGCTAGAAAAACTGCTTCCATTTTCAGTATGTAGACAAAACTTTTCTACTTACAGCTCCCTTCTTTTGTACATGGACACTTTGCACCATTCCTATATAGCAAGAAGTATGAATACTTAAATTCCTAATTCCATACGTAGCACTAAGCCACTCTTTAAAAACTTTAGAAAGCTGTACGAAGAGCCAAAGCTGCTAATTGAGGCACTTGGGTGAGGTAGCAGTCCTCCTCACCAGCCTCACCTCTTTGCTGCTGAGAAACGGACACTGACGAGCAGCAACCACAGAATGTTTGCAAAACTGCCCTCCTCCTCCAATATGCTGCCTCTCCCAGTCACTGGGACATTTTGACCAGGAGTTAAAGTTTGAATTAAACTAGATTCCCAGGTAAGCTCCTGCAATTACTTCTCAAAATTACGAGCTGTGAGAATTAGCAAAGGTAACACTATTTCTTAAAACTTAAAATATCTCAAGGCTGATTAAGCTTTCAGAGACATATTTTTGTCTCATTGGAGCATTAAATAAAAATTCTGTGTCAGTCAAAAATACAGAGTGACACGTGATAAGAGCAGTTCTCCTGCAGCTCTTCAAGTTAGAGTAGACATTCTACTGAAACCATTCATTTGTGCATGCTATTTACTCACAGGTTTATAAAAGAGATACATTTATGCTTCAGTGTATGCTCATCTGCAAATCCTGTCAAGCCAAAGAATGAATAGAAATAGCCTTTGTAAAAAGCATATATTACCTAAGGCATAAGAAAATAGGTTAGAAGTATCACAAGTTCAAATCAGTTGCCATAAGCTCTAATTTAAATCCCTCAATTAAAATTGACTTAAATAAAATGAGAGTGTGGTACTCTATCTCAATCCAGCACCCAAGTCAGTTGTATCACCTTGTAACTTTGGTCTTTTATTTCTGATCCACATCATCAGTAACACTAAAGTCATTTTCCAGAGGACTAGAAATCTGAAGGTTCAAGATGTGGCACACGCAGATGTGTTCTGCACTTGGGTACTGGCTGGCAACACTGCTGAAGCACCTGGAACCAGATGACATGGCCCACTGCAGCAACAACCCTTTTCAACATTGCAAAGCTCTGTTTCAAAGGATATGAATGCAACAAGCAAGCAATATTCAACCTACAGAAATAATGATAGCAGCTTTTAGACCATTAAAAATATTGATTTATATAATACTGTGAAAAGTCACACGGAGACTTCAGTAATCTGCAAAACAAAACGTATTTACAAAATACCTCATACAAAATCAAAGACAAGAGTACAAATATCAAGACTGAGCACCTTCCTATGTCAGCATGACCAAATGTACACCCTACTTCAGGGGTTCACCTGGCCTTCTTCCTCAACTGCGCTCATAATTGCACTGATAATTAACTTTTTGAATAAGAGAGCAGAAAATGGATAGGAAAATCATTTGACTAGTAATGAGATATTAATATTAACCTTAATGCAAAACAGAAGAACAGTAACTTGCAAAAAAAAAAGTTGAATGTTTTAATGCAGTTTTGAATCATAACGAAGAATAAGATTTTACATCTATAAACAAATCAGCAGAATAATAAAAAGTGGTTCCACGTAACTTATAAATTCTTTTTCCAAAAAGATGGTTTTCACAGATTTAGGCAACAAATAAGATGCTGCATTCCCGATCTTTCTGATTTAAAAGTACACACACAACTTGTGAAAACTGATGTGCATTTTTTGAAAGATAAAAGCTTGATTTTGCCCAGTGATGAACTTTCTGTGAAGTTCTGAATATTCTGTACAACACTGAAACTGTAACTGCAACTCTTCTCCATTTTATGAAATGTTGGACATTGCTCAATGCTGAAAAAGCTCTCTCTAGAATATCCAAACCTATGAAATGTTTCTCACATATTTAATCAGCACAGTACTGTTCACTACCACTGCTTATATGTGATTTGCTTCAAGGGAAATGGAAGCTTGGGTTTAATCTTCAGTACAGTGTATAAAATTAAGCGAAGAGATAGTTCAGTATCTACTTGAGTATTCGCCTGCTCATAAGAACGTGGCTGTAGCACCTTGTTTGATATTTTTTCAAAAATGAATGCATATAATCACCCCATTCTGGTGCCAGAGGTCTGTTTCTCTGGTGATATAAAAAGTTTGCAGCAATGATTATCAAACTATATAGAGTCTCATGGTCCTGGATTACATCTGTATACTGGAGACATTTAAGCAGCCAATTCAGGCTAGCAGGACCAAGAGCAGTAACCCTCTCTCCCTCACCTCACATAACTGATGGTTGGTCATTGCTCAAGATGTTACACACAAGCTCTGCTACAGAAACTGCTTCTGCTGGCTGGAGAACAACTTCTCTCTTTGTTAAGCAGCACCAACCTGCATAAAGTTCTCTTCACTATCAACTGAAAGAAAATGTGAGCCTTTCTTTTTCCTTAAAGGATAAAATCTGTCAACATCAAATGGCTTTAAAAATCCAAAAAAAAAAAAAGTGAAAATAAACGCTGACACCATCTTTAACCCTTGTTATCAGAAGACTTAAAGCTCTGCAGCCACTTTCCTCAACTTCACTAGTTCTGGTATTTTAAGACTGTTTCAGTACAATTCTGTATATAACTTCTACCTCAAGAAAATAAAAAAGAAAAATACGCTATGGAATTTAAGATGAAGCTACTATGGTGGCTCATACTATAAAGATATTACACCCATTTTCCATTACACAGCTTGATCTTCCACAAAACCAATTCTAGGACTCTAGTTTCCCTGCAACTACTCAGTCCCATCCCATCGCACTCCAATGCTTTTACACATTAGCCAACAAGGAACCCAATTAACACATCAGCCTGAACTGTGTTTAGACCCGAGCACAGCTACAGCTTCACATATTCCAAAGAATGAGATACAAAGTTCCAATTACTTATCTAATGGTAGCCCAGCATAAACTTTCCCACTGTAACAGCACACCTTAGCTTACCCTCACCCTTCATCTTCCAGTGTGATATGTCAGACAGTTAGGGGCAGGATCTCCCTCTAGCTAAAAAGAAGTGTCTGTCTGAAGCAGCCTTCTTGTTCTTTTGAAGATGTCAGCTGCCATTTGCATTTACATAAATAAGCAGCAGTTGTGGTATAACACCGCATTGCCAGTGCAAAAAAGGCTGAGCGCAGTGGGGAGCAAAAGCAGAGTAAGATCCTCTGGGAGAAAGAAGGGAGGTCTACATTAATTATCCCGTGTACAACAGTATAAGGACTGCAGCAGCCCCTTGCCACAGCTGAGAACACAAAGGTAACAGATGATGTTTACTTATCATATTGCTCCATTAGCCTTAAGTGTTAATTATCACATTAAGTGTTAAGGATCACATTAAGTATGATTGTCTTTCCTCTCATGTCAAAAACAGTACTTCAGCCAGAGACCAAAAGTGCTTTTTTCTAGGCTACAGAGAGATTCAGCGCATCTTGACCAACATTCACTTTTGAGGTAGTACTAATTTACTTTGTATTGCTGGCTCAAAGAAAAAAAAAAGAAAAAAGGAGAAAAAAAAAAAAGAAAGAGAATGCATTTAAAAGTATATTCATTGTAGGTATAGGAAAAAAAAAAAAAGACAAAAAAAGAAAAAATTATATCCTTTCTGGGCAGATCACCAAAAAGAAGCAATCCTTCTTACAAAGGTCAGCTCACATTCACTGGTAAAGTCAAACTTTCATAAATGGTTTATAACAATAGCTATAAACTAAAGTGCTTCAAAATTTGCTTGACTAGATCATAATATTCTGGATTTTTGCTAGTGTGAAATGCCATGAGATTTTTAGAATCACTTTATATAAGAAGGGCAGAATGAACATTTTCCTTTTTCCAAAGAAAAAGTACAAAAAGCTTTTAGAATACACCTTGCAGTCTATAATCACTACAAGTTGTTTATATTTTCCTTCTCAAGTCTACTATTTCTCCCATAGCTGGACTGAAAATGGAGTTGAAGTAGCACTATACTGCAGCACTAAAAATAACCGTTCCAATCAGATGCAAACAAGAAAATGTTTACAGTCATGTAACTAGTGAAATTCACACTTCATTTCAAACTTTTAGCCCTGCAGATTCTTTTCAACACAAGGCAGATATGTAGATCATGGAAAAATGTAACAGACTGCTATATACTCTCTACGTTAACTACATCAGTTTCACATTTATGTCACAAATGTAATGCCCTACTGTTTATCTATCAAATGCTAAATAACTTATGAACATTTATGTACTCTATGCAACAGTGAACATATTGACCAGTGGATGCCAAAATATAAAAGTTCATACACAGGACAAACTAATTTAAAAAAAAAAAATCACATTTTCTGTACAACTCATGCAAACTGTGCACAATGTGGTAACAAGAACAACATCTGCTGAAGTTTCCAATTAAGGAAGAGCTTTTAGACCAATAGCAGACCGGTATTCAGAGAAGTCTGCAGAAGTACAGCAGTCCACAGCAACATAAAATGCAAAAATTCTTCCAGCATTTCATTTTTCTTGTAACAAAGCAGGGATATTGATGTTCCAGCCAATAGCCTGACGATCAAATCCACAGGTGAAGAGGTTACATATTGGGTGGTCTTCACTCCAGGCTGAGCAGCACACCATTCTTCTGTGGCCCTACAACAGGTCAGGAGATGTCAGTATTACTTAAAACATTTCTGAAAGCTTCTGTGTGGACAAATTGGCAGGAATCACAAGGGAAACTTGCTAATGCTCTGCATTTTTATAAATGGAATGTGAGAATCCTAAAGATCATGGTTATTTTCATCTGTAAGGTAAAATCTTATGTCTCATGATAATGAGACTGCTTAATGCTGGCACTGGATCCAAAAATACAGGAGCAAAACAGGACTTCCAAAACTTTAGTTTTTCACAGTATGTCTGCTATCTAATTGGCATTCTATTTACAAAAGCAAAGTGGATTTTGAGCACTGAATTTTAGCACTTTTACTTATAAAAGCAACTTTAAAACTAGGAACTACTTGCTGGCAACAACTGTCTTATGAGCCTGCAAGATGACGTGTTGATTTTTCTTTCTGTCGATCATGTTTGTAACTCAGAAAGAATAACAGTACAGCGGAAGGAATGTCCTACTGAGCAAAAACAGTGCCCATTGTTCAAGTTCAATAGCAAGGAGAATACCCCAAGGAGGATTCTGACAAGCGCTCAAGTAAAACAAATAAATAAAAAAAACCTCCATTTCTGTTGTGTCAGCTTTAATGAATACTAATGAAAAATAAAGAAAAAAAACAGAAAAATCACAGTATCAAAAGTAAGCAATAGGTAAACACTTAACAGCCCTTTTGTATATTGTCAGCTGTATCTACATACATGCACGATGTCCATAAAGCTGTGAGCAATATAGGACAGTCAGAAATGCTGCCTTTTGTGTGGTTAAACACGCTGCTTATGAAATATATCAAACGTGCCAGACAACTGAAATTAAAAGAAAGTTTATAAAAAGGTCCCTTTAAGTGGTATAATGGAATTAATTTCACTTAGTCTACCTTGCTCAATTAGCAGTACTTGCAATTCCAAGTAACACCTCAAATGCACAAAACTTTGAACGCAGTAAGGATAGTGTAGTACTTGGTATCAAGAATTGATTTGCATTATCATGGGGAAAAAAGAAAAATTATCACAAGAAGAGCTTTCAGAATCAACTCCCATTTTTTCCTTTTATATTTTTTATGACAAATTCTACACAGAAAAAAAAACATGAAACCTCAAAATCAATCACTTTTTGACAAGACTCACATCAAGACATGAAAATACATTTAAAACGCTCTTACATTTTTTTTTTCTATTTCACAGAGAAGGCAGACATTACTACCACTTCCACTAGGGGAAAAACACAGTGGAACTCAGTTCAAACACCATTTCAAATGCCAATGAAAAAAATCTAAAATACGTCACTTATTTGCATGTTGGTCATTTTCAATTACAGTCTATATGTACAGACAAGCGTCTTTCAGCATTTCTTCAGCTTCTGCACTAGAGACATCAAACCCTATTTTTATCCTTGTATAAAGAGAAGAGCAGACATACTTTAAGGGTATAAAAACTCCATTACCTGTCTATTACTGCGAGGGAGGCGTGCTAATCGCACTCCTGACATGTCAAATAACCTAACCTGTCGGTTGTCGTGTGGAAGGGCAATGATTCTTTGGCCAACACATACGTTAATCCTGTGCAGAAGAGAAAAAAAAGTGGGTTATGCATACAACAGTGAGTCTGGCAAACAGAACTTGACAATATAAGTTTAAGCTCTCAAGAAGTGATATAGCTGAATTCCTTCTGGATAGAATCCACGCCAAAAATAAAGTGTATTAAATTGTTAAGATAGTTCATTGTGCCAGATGCTCTAACAGGCTTAACTTCTGCACCCAGTATAAAAATCTCAGAAAAAAACAATGCAGTGTGTTTATTGAAAATGAATGCTGACTAAATCTCTAGTTTATTAAATCACTTCAGACCTTTTTCAAAATCTTATAAATCACACTATACAATTCTAATTACAGCGACTAAAACTAAAGTTCTCTTAATTAAGAAAATAATAATTTGAAGGTCTGCTTACCTATTTACTGCAGAATCTGTACGAATGGTAGCAATAGGAGACCTCATGTTTTTCAAATCCCAAACTTTTACAGTGCGGTCATCACTACCAGAAACAACATTGTCTCCCACAGTGAAAACTGCAGATGTCACAGTGCTAAACAATTAGGAGTAAAAAAGAAAACTGTCAAGCCTTGAGGTTTGTTATTAAACAAGCAAGTGATTTAAAGTTTCTGTTCCTATGCTTCCATTAGAATGTATAGCTTGTTTTTCTCCTTCTCCTTCTGTGGAGAGTCAGTCCAGAGGCACTTCTCATATTCCATTTATCCTAATGGGACAGGAAATGCTTAGCTCATTAAACCTTAATTCACTTTTGAAGTTCTATATTAATGTGAACATCAAACACCTACAACTGAATCACTAGTACTCAACAAAATACTTCCCCATGTGAGATTGTAACCAATACTATTTTGTAAATCCATCTAAACATGGTACTACACACAAGCACAGAGCTTCCAGAGTAACTCTGCTAGCAGCAGCTATCTAATCTAATAATTTTGAATTCTGATTTTAATCCCTGTTTTACAAGTAGCTTAATTCTAACAGTCAGGTAAGACACATGGCAAGTAGTAATATCAGGAAGCATGAGCAGCCAGTCCTTCAAATGTCACTCATTATGGCTACAAATGGGCAAAATCAGCCAGAGAAAGACTATCAAGAACCTTTCTACCAAACAGAAACACAAAATACTCCTTTCAGGAACCATACATTATGTACTTTTATGTATATGTAATTATTAAATATTAACTCTATTCACATATATAAAGGATTTTATTACATTCAGATTTTATACTTTCCAAGAATAGCATACTGCTGAACTCAACCGAGAAATTCTCATGACTTCTTTCTACATCTTTTACCTATTAGTTTATAGTAAGCAATTAACACTTTTGTACTGTTTTCAGTTAAATTCTATGCAGATTCTCAAATGAAAACCAGTTATTTATTTTCTGTCCTCAGAGTGTACTAGCAAAGCATTTTCGTCTGTGCCTAAAATCATTAGGGAGTCTTCTCAACTCTGTTTCTACAGATCTGATTTAATGACCTATCTTGTAACTGGGGTCATGCGTATCAATTTCTTAGAATTTAGTAATTTTAATTTAAGTTGTCAGTCGTTACTGTCACTTTGGTTGTTCTGCAGAAATTTGAATTCATGTCCTATCCAAGCTGCTGATTGAGATTAGCATTAGCCAGGTCACAATGGACCAGTTTATGCGAGCCTCTTAATTTAAACTGACACCAAATTAAGTTTTAATTAGGATGAAGGTCCACTTTACTTGTGACACCAAGCTTCCTAATGCATTATTAGAGTGCAGCTAAGCTATCAGAAAGATGATTATAATAAGAATCAAGAGGTCTTCACCTAATCTTCTGGAATTCATGAACCAAAAGTCAAAAAGCCAAAAGATACACGAAGGCCACAGCAGATGAATCTTTCAAGAGGCACTTTTGCATTTGGTAAGAGAATTCATTCACACAAGCAAATTACTGCAGACTAGAATTTGAATGTTCTTTGCACACAACTTGATTTCCGCTTGCCTAACCTACACAAATCTTACTAATTTTCTTCATTTATTTCCTCACAAGTCCTTTACACAAGCTGCAAAACACCTCAAAAAAAAAAAGTTTCACACCTCCATATTGCTGCAGCACATCTGAAATAAGGTTTAGAACTTTCACACTATTAAATCTGTACAGTTCGCACACTGTGAGACCTCCTTATACATGACAGTATGAAGAATTCAAGTCATAGAAAGGCTCCAGGTGAGTGAATACACAGTATTTTAGTATTCTGCTACCAACACACAGATATGATCTGTTTTCCCATCATACATTTTATTCCAATTATAGCTGGAATATGTTCTGAAACTGTCTTAAAATAACCCTCCAATTTTGGATGCTTTTTTCCACAACTTTAAACAGTTTTCCAGCTTCTTTGATCTCATATTGGTTCTCCTTTATCGCTTATCACTGTCAAACATAGTTAAGTCTTTTTGACCACATAAAGTTCTCTTTCTTAGATTTATCATCTTTCAAATGAAAACAGTCAAAGCCATCTCCATGCAAACAGAATGTCAGCCCTAGATTAGCTCAATCCTTCCTGCTCCTGTCAAAAGAAAATGATTTTCAAAATAAAACAAAATCTTCGTCTGTACTACTTTCAGTTTAACTATTCATACAGATGCTACTGGAAGTCTGTAAAACAGAAGAGCTGTGAAGCTCCCCCGTAGCACTCTGATGACTGGGTAAAGGATAGAAAGGCACAGTGAAGGCCTGGAGCTGTTGGAGCAGGTCAAGAGGAGGGCCACAGACACGATTAGAGGGCTGAAGCATCTCAACTCCTCTGTGAGGACAGGCTCAGAGAGCTGGGGTTCTTCAGCCTGGAGAATAGAAGACCCAGGTGACTCATAGCGGCCTTGCAGCACCTGAAGGAGGCCTACAGGAAAGCTGGGGAGGGACTTTTCATAACGGCATGAAGTGACAGGACAAGGAGAAATGGTTTTAAACTGGAAGAGTTTAATATATAGTCTGATTTAGACTAGATATTAGGAAGAAATTCTTTCCTGTGAAGGTGGTGAGACACTGGAACAGGTTGCCCAGAAAGGTTGTGGATGTCCCCTCCCTGGAAGCATTCAAGGCCAGGCTGGATTGGGTTTTGAGCAACCAGGTCTGGTGGGAGGTGTCCCTGCCTATAGCAGGGGGTTGGAGCTATATGATCTTAATGGTCCTTTCCAACCCAAACCATTCTATGATTCTATGAAAAGGAAGACTGCCTTGCAGTTTTCCATGACACCTTGACAAGTGTGTTTAGTAGTCTTCATCTGCTGTCTACCATCCCAAAATTCATCACTGAAAGGCACTGCTGACTAGGATATGCACTGTTTGCAAGCACAAGTGACTACAGAAATAGCCTTTCTTGTAAAAAGCTCTGAATTCAAAGACTAGATATAAAAGCCCCACTTACTGCAAAATAGCAACAAGAAGAAAGCCTGTTTTCTGAGAAGCAAGCAAAGCAAAGTCTGTGGTGGGAACAAATAAGTTGGCAGAGCAGCCAATATGCCAAAAACCTTTTGGTAATGCCTCCCTAACTCCACTCACACTAAAACATTAAAAGACATCGATCTGCATTTTCACTTGGCCATTTTTACTTTCCATCAATAGTAATCTTCAGTTTGTTCTAACTAAACATAAACCTGTGGTTAACATCTCCTTGGCTACATTAATAAAAAGTGTTAACGAAGGATCATCAAACCTTGTTAAGGGAATGCTAGAAGAGATTAGGTTTTTAATAAATCAAAAAAGATGACAGGTATCGTAGGACACTGGAAAAAAAAAAACTGGCAAAAAAGAAGCAGTCTTATGACACTTCAAACCATGGGTCCCAGGAGGAGTTTGGTGTGCTACAACTATTCTCCAGAAAAGCTTCAGCCTCTGCCAAACCCCAGCAAAACTCATTTATCTTGTCGTAGGGAGCAGCCGAGCGTGTACTTCCAGCTGACAGCGTGGCACTTCCTCACCACACACCACTGCCCGGCCTCGAACATTCTGCTCCCTCCGTGGGTCTCAATCAACAGAAATACTGTAGTGCTAGCACTCCTCATTAGGCCGAACAGCTGTCTCCCCAGTCATACTGAGACACAAAACTGTTTTGCATAACAATCTGCTGAAATTTCACACACAGGGAGAAAAAAAAAATGATGTTGAAAATGTTGGACCATGAAATGCTGATGCAGAACACTTACTGGCAATGCATCAAAAAAAAAAAAAGTGAACACTTCTGTTTCCATTTTGATTTGCAACCCATACTGGGATTTGCAATTGAATACTTGGAGAAAACATGTTTTCCTGGCAGCAGAACTAACGGGCACATGGGACTAAGTTCATGAGCACTAACAGGCACGAGGGACTAAATTCTGGAGAAAATGAACTAAAAGAGTGCTTTTGGATAAATATGTACACCAAATCATAGTTAAAAAACAACATTTGAGTGCTCAAATATGGGTCTTATATTTTAAGTGGTAACATTCAGGAACTAAACCTAAAGAAAGAGGTATTTGGGAGAGATACAAATTTTATTAGGGGAATAAACCACGTCCTTACACAAAGCAGCCCACAGCCTGAGGGGAAGCCAGGAACTATGTCTAAAACCCGCAGGTATGGCTAGAAGCTCATCCAAAAGGATTGCTGCCCTGGCCACATAAGCACCCTGTGAGGAACACACCAATACCTTCACATCTGAGTGCACAGTTAGGTTTTAGGAGTGCTAAAGGACCTCAATGCCCAGAAGACATAACATACAATTCCTTACGTCTATTTCTGAGTTTATCTCCATATATGAGCAGAGCTTTTTCCTCCAACTTGAGAAAGGCTAAGAACAAGCCATGAAAAAAAAGTAACATAGAGAAGGTGGGAATTCAGAGACTGTCGTTAGCACTGAAATGTCATTTTCTAGCATCTAAACCAACAATGCCTATTCCAGGAGATATGTGCTTCATGACACTAAAGAGAAAACAAATATCTCCTTTTCTTTCTAGCTGTCTTAAAATAATAAAATGATGCAGTACTGAAAACCAATCAGTAGCTTTTATGAGAATTACTCAATGGCAAGTTAGCAAATTAGTTATGGTGTCTTTAAAATCAATTTCATTACCTCTAGGATGGAATAAAAAAGGTTCGTTTATTCCTGCAGTATTGCTGCATACGTTATGTAAGCTTTAGAACAACAAAACACTATGAAGTGTTAGACTCCATTGAATAGGATACAAAGAAAAGGCCTTTGACCACACTCTTATGTGGGTCAATTAAAAAAAATATATATATAATAAAAAATATTTATTATATATATGCACACACACCGCACTTTTTAGAGCATGCATTCATAAACAGAGTTAAGATTGGCTCTGGGCAGCCTTGTCTAGTGACCCTGGTAACACTGCACATGGCAGGGGGGTTGAAAATAGATGATCATTGTGTTCCTTTTCAACCCAGGCCATTCTATGATTCTATGATTCTCCAGGATTTACTGCCCACATCTTTTTTTTGAAGTGACTGCAATGCCTAACATGAAGAGCATTCAAAATTTGTTATGTTACAGATCCAATCCCCTAACATAAAACATGTAATGGATTTTCTTATTTTAGCTTTCAATTTTAAGCACTTACTCTTCTAGCTTAAAGAGGGCATACGACTGGTTATACAGCAGAGAACTTGCTAAGATAAGATCAGTCACTTAAAACTTTTAAGTAGTATTTCCTATAGGAAAACCTCCTTGCAACTGATTTTCACCACAGTCCTATGCACATTTCTTTTATAGGGCACAGCAATTAAAAGTCATCAGCTTTTCATTATTCTCTTAAAATAAAGATGAAAAAATATTTCAAAAACAGAAGCAGTCTAATTTTCCTCACTAAAAAAAAAGAAGTTACAGAACCTAATATCAACTCCATAACCTCATATTTTAATGCCTTCCCTCATAGTTTGACTATAGGTTTTTTCCCCATAAATGTTATAAGTTGAATACTACTAATCATTGTGTAGTAATTCAAGTCATGTTGCTTTTATGTGAACATGGCAGTGACAGCCTAACGAAACAACTTTTAGGAAACGGAACAAGGCAGTACCACTAAAGTAATAGAAAAATTATGTAGTTAGTCAGAAAGGCTTGGGAGAAAGCTCTGAAAAATTCCACACTTCCTACAGCAGCTGAACTGAAACCAACTCATGGGGAATGATTAGGAGCAGTAGAAAAAATGGGAGGTAAAGCATCACTAATGGCATGAACAGCTGAGGTAAGAACAGGAATGTCTCCAGAAGAACCAATTTTAAACTGGTTGAACTCCACTGAGAGCAGCAAATTGGTGACATTTTGTTTGTCATAAGAAGCCTGTAAATACTTCCTTCTCACTACACAGATTTTAGTCAAAGGTGCAGAACTTGCATGTCTAAAACAGCATGCAGTTACACATTCATTTCACTAAGTAAGACACATCAGAGAGAATGAGAATTAAATCTTGCGGAACAAAGAATCAGGGAAAGCCTGCTGACCTTGGCAAACCTGACTGCCCATGAAAATAAAACAACTATTAGTATCTTGGTAAAGAAATTAATTTTGAAATTAATTCCAAATTCACTAAATGTCAGAATTCAGCCCAGCATTCTAATGAAGTCACTACTTCTTTACATCCTTTTAATTTAGATTTTCCAGAAAACATAGGATTTAAAAGATAAAAAGTTGAAGAAGCAAGACATATTTGCTCTTCACTAGCTTCACAGTTCTCACAATAAACAGGAAAGGGAAATGGCTGTTTATAAGAGTCGATAGTGATAGGACAAGGGAGAATGGTCTTAAGCTGAGACAGGGGAGGTTTAGGTTAGATATTAGGAGAAAGTTTTTCACTCAGAGGGTGGTGAGGCACTGGAACAGGTTGCCCAGGGAGGTTGTGGATGCCCCATCCCTGCAGGCATTCAAAGCCAGGCTGGATGTGGCTCTGGGCAGCCTGGTCTGGTGTTGGGGACCCTGCACAGAGCAGGGGGTTGAAACTAGATGATCATTGTGGTCCTTTTCAACCCAGGCCATTCTATGGTTCTATGATCTAGCTGACGTTCTGGAGCTTTCCATTCCTCTCCTACAATCACATAATCTGAATGAAAGAAGGAGGAACGTGCAGTAGTCAGGAAGTCCTACAAGCCACCGCCCACTGCAGCGCAGCACTGGGACTGGAACTAGACAATATCTGAGGGCCCTTCCAATCCAAGTCATTCTAGGATAATTTCTGGAAGGCTCTAACCTAGGAAGTCCATTCAATTAACACGTAACAAGTAAGTGGATGGATGATAACATAAACATTAGCTTTTCCCAGGGTTCTGTTAGACATCTCATAGATAGAGAGGGATTAACAGCACTAGGAATACAAGTTTGTTGTGGTGCACACACAAAATGCAGAGAAAAAGAATATTTAATTAAAAGTTAGTATTATTTCCACACTAATTCATTATTTTTAAACCTCTAAGAAATAACGAGTGAGGCAAACTGGAGGTGTATCAAACCTAAAAAAAAAATGCAACACAAGTTAGGAACTGAAACAGTCATGTGCAAGAAAAAGGTCAATAAAGTTTACAGATCTTCAAAGGACGACCTGAATGCCCTTTAGAGACTTAGCTGAATGCAGGCTTAAAGTACAGAAGTACTGTTCAGGTACTGACTTGGCCTCTGGATGAGTAAAATGTCAAAACATATTGGAAAACATGCTTTGTTTATAAAAAATAAATAAATGAAACTGTTATCATCACCTAAATATCTATTAATACAGGAAACAAAGCTCTTTAATATTAAAAAGGCAAGATAAAATTCAGTTGTCAGAAACTGAAGCTAGTCCAACTAGGAAAGCACAAAAAGTTTAGCAGGGAGGTTAAACACTGGAATGAGCAACATAGAGGATTTACCAAGGGCTAAGTTAAAATCATTATCACTAGAAGAGCCTCATATGCAATTGGACAAGTCTACTACAACTAATTCAAAATAGGCATCAATGTAAGAAGGCCAGCACAGGTGTGATGGTCACAACAGACTCCTGCCTTTGCTGGAGGATGACTTATTTTCTTGGACTATAGCAGAACTGTGACAGCAGTAAACAAGAAGAAACAGCCCACTTTTAATAGAGTGAACAGTTACATGCTCAGAATACCAAAATAACAGGTAATTTCTTTGTCCATTTACTTTAAATACAAACAGTCCCTCATCACTGGCATACACACTTATTTTGAGAGAATATCACTGTATAGTACAAGGCAATGCACAGTAATTGTTCATCTTTTTTTTTAAGCCAATTAGCTTTATAACATCATACTCTTACTTAGCCTCTCAACATCAGTGTCATTGCATTATATCTCTAATAAATCATGTGCCATTTTGACTAAATCTTAAATCTAATTCATTACAGCTACTAAGGAAGGAATTTGAAATTACACTATCCACCTATGCTTTTAATAAGCAAACAGACACAAAGTATAAAATGGCAGTGAAAAAAAAAAACAACAACAAATCTCATCAGGTTTGAAGCCTTGGTTTTCTCTTTGATTTCCAAAACTAAAAATCGCTCTTGGAACCAGGAATCATGTGCCTGATGCAAAGTTTAAGAGACAAAAGTGGTAGGGTGGTCAGCTATCACCTGACTTCAGAGGCTGGAGCTCTGAGCCTCTTTTTGAGAGAAGTTTTTGGAAGTCGTGAGCCAGAGCTACAGACACCCAGTCTGGCAGTCATGGCGGAGCTGTGGTGCCATCTGCTGACAGGTCTGCTGCCTCTGCTCACAGGCTCCACAGACACTGAGGTATTTAGTAAAAACTGCTTTTCCTCTTCAGATTCACATCTTAGTTCCAGTGCACTGAGAAGCACTCACACCCAACATAACCATTTTACAGCATCCAAGACAGAAGCAAGCTGCAGTATCAAGTGCAGCACAAAGGAATGAAACTTCAACTCTGAACCACCGTGCATTGCTAGGATTTGATGATGTTTTGGATCTCAGATCAGTACAAAAAGGCAGTAACAATCTGTATGTGTGAAAAAAATCTGATTTTCAGAGAAAACTTCTGTTTTCTGTGAAACATTATAAGCAGTACTTAGTTTTCAAGCCAGCAGCTATAGCTTATGGTGTGATATTATTTATATGTTATATCTAGATAAAATTTATAATTAAAGGTGATTTAAGGTATGAGGATAGTTAGTTGATTTTTTTTGTTTGTTTGTTTTAGTTATGCCTGTAGATTAGGGGTACTGCTGTAATACAGTTGATCAGACATTATCTTCGCTTGTCACAATATATGAAATAAATCACCACACTACAGAACAGTTAAGGTCAGAAGGGACCTCCCAGAGGTCATAGGGCAGCTTGGGTTGGAAGGAACCTTAAAGATCATCAAGTTCCAAACCCTGCTGTGGGCAGAGTTGCCACCCACCAGCTCAGGCTGCCCAGGGCTGCATCCAGCCTGGCCTTAAACACCCCCAGGGATGAGGTAGCCTATTCCACTGCCTCACCTCCCTCTGAGTAAAGAATTTCCTCCTCGCACCTATCTAAATCTCCCCTCTTTTAGTTTAAAGCCATTCCCCCTTGTCCTATCATCTATCAGACCATATAATAGTCAGTGCCCCCCCTGCTTGTAAGCTCCCTTCAAGTACTGAAAGGCCACAGTGAAGTCTCTTCTCCAAGCTAAACAAGCCCAGTTCCTTCAACCTTGCTTCGTAAGAGAGAAGCCCCTCTGGTCACCAGTATGGCCCTCCTCTGGACCCACTCCAACAGCTCTGTATCGCTCTGCATCTTTCTTATGTTGGGAGACCCAGTACTCCAGATACAGCCTCACAGGTGCAGAGCAGAGGGGAGCAACTACCTCCCATGCCCTGCTGACCACTCCTCTTGTGATGCAGCCAAGGATACATTTGACTTTCAGGGCTGCAAGCACACACTGCTGCCTCATGTACAGCTTTTTGTCCACAGATTGTCTGGTCTGTGAAAACAGGTCTTACAAAGTAGGAAAGTTAACATAGTACCTCAAAAAGAGAACACAAACAGTTCTGTTCATATTAGCAACCAAATACATTTATAACTTGTAAAAAATAAAAATATTAAAAAGAAATAGAAGAAACTGTCACTTACTCTGTGTGGCCCTGAAAGACATTCACAGAATGGATAGAAGGATCTCTGAAATCCCACAGACGGAAAGTTGTATCACGTGATGATGTCACCACAAGACGCTGGGTGGGATGTGTACAGCAATGTGTTAGCTCTTGGTCATGCCCTACAATCACAGATGAGAACATATAAGGTAGTGAAAATAATACTTTTCATTTCCACACATGCTTGGAATGGAATGCTGACAGCCTCTTAAACTATCAGTGAAAGTGTACTAAGTATTTCAAACTCTGATGCTACTTGTTGATGTGAAGTTTGGAACTATACTTAAAACCAAAAAGTACAACTCATTTCACATGATTATTAAGAAACTGCTCCTACTTAATATGCCATAGACAACAGAAATACTTTGCAAGAATGAAAATTTGGCTATATTCAGTTTAAATCAACTGTTCTGTTGGCTCTAGCACATGCTTGAAAGAACACAAATTCATGCTTGGGGGATTTACAAGGTTGGAATTTTAGAAACCACTGCAACATCAAGCAGCAACATAAGTTGCTCACCATACTCACACCATACTCCAGAGACATAACTTTCACAATAAGGAATCCCCATAAAAATAAATCACCAATTATAACTTTTTTGAGTGAAGAAATACCTGTAAGAGAATGGACTAATTCAGAAGTCTCTACATCATACAGGTTTGCTGTCCTATCCCACGAAGCCGTCACTGCTTGCTTCCCCCCAACAAGCCAGTCAGCTGCTATGACCACTCCTTGATGACTTTTGAGTGAAGTTAAGGGGGCTCTGACAGTGGGACAATCACTAGAACCATCTCCATCTCCATCAGGTTCATCTTTATCTGAGAACTCAAATTCATCTTCTCCAGACACTTGCTATAAAATTCAAGAGGAAAAAAGAATGAAAACAAATGGAAAAGAATGTCTCTAAGTTACATTTTACAGTGCAAATGCTTCCAACTCCATGTAATATGAATGTGGGTAGTGTAATTCTGCAGAACTTTGTCTATTTAAGTACCTACTATCAAAATCATAGTTGAAGGGAAAAGACAGTAACTTCTTCATTTCAAAATCTCTATTGAACTGTTTAAATATCTGTCCAACATGTAGTCTGGCAAGCCTCTTCTGTAATTCTTCTCACTATATTACCCATGAGTTTCATTCCCATGCATATTATCAAGAGACTTTTCCCTTTAAATTTTTAAAGATTAGAAGCATCTAACAGGGCACTAGTATTAATCTTTGGGAAGACAACCATTTAGAGTCATGTTTTTATCTGTTAGAATCAATATCTTGACATTGTCTTTTGGTCTTTAAATAACGTATCCTGTATGTAAACTGGATACAAAAGAAAAGCATTGATCTCTGAACCCCACATTACTCACGCAAGACAAACACACTCCTCTTTCACTTGGATGGGAAAAGGTAACATTTGCACTGCTCTTTCAAAATAGAAATTCCAAATCAACTCATCTGAATCAAACATTTGCCATGCAGAAATCTATCCATGCATTTCATATTACATGGCCACTTCTTGTCCCTACTTCATTTACTGAGAAGCTCATGCTACAAACTACATCTGTCTTCACAATTTAGTGAGGGTGATTTGAAGCTGCATACAGCATTTGCCAGCCAGAAAATGTTGTCCACAGGTTTTTTTTTTTTTTTTTTTTCAGTCAGCAATGTCAGACAGTGTGATTAATGCTGGCAAAGGTCAATTAGAAATCATATTAAACATATAGTTAAGAAAATGCCAAAGATTCACAACTTTACCATCAGTTTTGAATTCATAGCAACTATAGTTTATTCAGTTTTGAATTCATAGCAACTATAGTTTATTCAAATACCTCAGTGAGGTAAGCTACAAGAATGTAAGCAGTTTAGAAATAATTTTATTATTATTTATGATTTTAATTGTTATGAAAAAACTGCACTTGCCACTTCATTTACTTATACCTTATATGCTTATTACCTTGAAAAAAAGTCAAGGTACTTGTGCATTGTAGTTTCTTCAAAAATATGAAAGGAATTTTTTTTAAAAAAAAAGATACAACATATTCAAATAAAACCTTAAACCGCCACCTTCTGCAATCCTGAATTATGTAATTTTTAATTATGTATAAATGTAATGCTTAGTACTACCACAACACCCACATCCAATGAAATTGCTGTGCAATTAGTTTAGTTGCAGCAAGTTGATTGCTTACATTGCAGTCTGCAGTTGGCTGAGGTGTAGGCAACTGTACTATGTATCTCCAGATGTGAGCTGTCTGGTCTCCAGATGCTGCACAGGGAAAAGAAAGCAAAAAGAAATGGAGGGGGAGAGAGAGCGAGCGCACTGATTAAATTAGAGTATTTCCATGAACAATCAAAAGAAGCTTTCATGTTACATATTTGGCTGTTTGCATGGCATCTTTTTAATAGACACTGTTACAACCTTTTTGGTAAGCAAGTCTCAACATTAATGAAATGGTTACTTCCCTGACTTCAATACAGATGAGAACTCATGTAAAAATGTAAGTAGCTACCAAATTGATCATTCCTGCAGTGAAAATCCACTTAAATCCTACAAATCAGAACACTAATTTCACTGCTTTTCTAATAAATTGGATTTGAAGAAAGTATTTTATACATCAAGTACAATCTTTCATATGCTACTTCCCAAATATGCTGAAGTTCCTCTTCATTCAGTGATTTCACCTATTAAATGTTTCTAGCTCATTTTTTAATGAAAAAGCCAAAACAGCAAGATTTAAGCTATTCTGCCTTTACATTAAGCAACTCAGCTTAACTAGTTCCAGTTTACAGCTCAGTAGTTGATTTCACGATCTACTGTTTTTGAAAGAGATTTATCCATTACTAACCAAGATTTTCTTTGCTATGGACAAAACAAACATGTTCCTAATACTCAGGGGTAGTTCTGAGAGTCCTACATTGAGATGAAAAGCAGTTTGGTATGCATGTGCACAGGCTTGATACATAAACCATACATAAATGTGTTTTAAAAAATTTCTTATGTAATAGATCAAGAAGGGTAGAAGAAAGCTCATAAACTCTGTATGATTTTTGGTATCAGTAAGTCAGTTTACATAATATTGTTTATGGTACTCTAACACTGACTACAGGTAACATATGTAAACAGGAAAATCTAATTAGTCATATCTCTTTAATCCCAACTGTATTGCACCAATTGCTGGGCTGCACAGTCCACAGCGTTAAACACACAGGATCATTTTCAAACTCAAATTTGTACTGATATTGACTCTCTATCCTGAAAACCTTACACTAACATTTGTGTTTTCATTTTCTCTTGTGTATATTTTGTAACATTCTTTTACTTTACTTCCAGAAACATCAAATAATTCAGAAGTACTAAGATGAACGATTCCGAGTGACCAAGCACAAAAGTCAGTATGGTATGATAAACACAGATAGAATGATGTAGGTCTGATTTCTGATTCCTTAAAAAATAACGATAATTTAATCAACGATGGTACTGACAAAGTAGAAGAAAGAGGCCCCTACAACACCAAAAAGACAGTAGCAAATGACACACTTATTCTTCCAAAATAATAGTCACTAAATGGAAAAAAAAACATACATACCTGTAAGAGCCACTTGCTCTGTTGGATGAAACTTTATCGAATTTACTGCATAAAACAAAGCAGAGCTTTAAGCTAGTGTACTAAACAAAGTATTTCACAATGTTTTATCGTTACAAGCATTGAAACATCAAGAAGTCTTCAGTTTTAATTGACTTTTTGTAGGATTGCAACCCCCTAGTTGAGAGAAACCGTAATATTTGAGCACTGAAGCCTATGCAGTATCAAGCAAAGCAGTCATAGAATGACTTGGGTTGGAAAGGTCCTTTAAGATTTAGTTCCAGAAAGTCAATTACAAATACCACAATATACATTTTCTAGCTAATTATTTCCTGAACCTACTACAAGTGTTTCATGTTAAAGAGAACAAACAAACTACATTCAAGCAATTGTGTGCAAGCTAATCGGAAATAATGCTCTGGATTTCCATAAGGTGAATTTAATTATTCATAACTATTCCTAACCTAATCATTAAACTTACTATATATGACCATCAGCTTCCTCACTGTCACTAAAGGCTGCAAGAACAAATGCCTAAAGATCCAATGCAAATAACAAATTAGATTTCAGTCCTGCAACTACATGTAATTGAAGCACGATTGTTTTAAAATACAGCCCTGCAAGAATTCTGTCAGCCTACAAAGCTGCTCTTCATTTTTTATTTCAATGAATAAGATTTAATTACATTGCTAAGCATTTTTATTTGCAAAACCCATAAGCTTCGCTTCAACAGTTCGAGAAAGAACTTAAAAATCATTTGTGTTCATCATTTAAGTAAAATAGATGCCTATGCTCTCAAGAGAATGCTAGAATTTGCTGAGTATTGAGTTGAAAAAGATACTCATTGTTCACACTAAATCACCTCAATAGCATAATAACTGCTGACATCCAACATTTCAAATCAACTGCCACACGTAAGCAAGTGAACAAAGTTTTACTAAATGAAAGCTACATAAACTAGAATGTAACAATGTTCTTTTTTCTTTGGTTAAAACAGTTTACAAACATCCATTTAAGCATAGTTTAGAGCCTTTCATTAATTTCATCATTATCCAAGTAGCAATTGAAAAATAAAAATCAAGAAAAAACCCACCAGTTGTTGGAGTTTTTAAAACCACATTTGTGGTGCTCCCTAGGGCTCAATTTCAGGGCCAGTTCTCTTCACTGTTCTTAATCAATCACCTTGACACAGCAGTTGAGTGCATGCTAAGTTCATGTATGATAACTAAGAGAAGCCACTGATTCCCTTGAGGGTTGAGAGGTCTTACGGAGATATCTTAATAGATGGGCAAGATGGGCAACCATCAATCATACGAAAAATTTAACAAGAACAAATGCTAGATTCTGCACCTGGCCCAATGCAATCCTGGAAGTATATATAAACTAGGGGACAACTGGCTCAGTTTTGGCTCAGAATAAGCCAACAATGTGCCCCCTCAGCCAGAAGAGCCAACTGTATCCCAGAATGAACAGAATAGCTAACTGGTCAAAAGTAATTGTCCCTCTATATTCAGCGCTGATGTGGCCTCACCTCAAGTATAGCATGCAGCTTTGGGCTTCACAATACAAGAATATAAAAATAATAGAAATGCCCTTCTTTGGACGGTGAAAAGACTTGAGGATATGACTTATGAGAAGCTGAGGTACTTGATTTGTTCAAGAGAACAGGGGGTGACCTCATTGCTGTCTACAATTCCCTCATGGGGCAGGAGGTGCCTATCTCTCTATAGAGAGGCTACAGGATGAAAGGGAATTGCTTAAAGCTGTGTCAGGAAAAGTTCAGACTGAAAACTGGGAAAAACTTTTTCACCAAGAGCGCAGTCAAACACACTGGACCAGGCTCATCAAGGAAGTGTGAAAGACCCAAGTCTGTTGGCGTTCAAGAAGCATTTAGACAACACTCTTAAGTGCATGGTTCAACTCTTGTTGTAATTATACAGAAAATTTACAGGCACATGTCCTTGTTTATTCAATCAGAATTTACAGAACTATCTTAATACTCCTCTCTTAGAAAACATTCCCTGTAAGAAGACTGATGGAATTTTACAATTAACTTGCTAATGGTATGGACAAACCATTAAGTCAAACCACAATAAACTTTTTTGCAGGTGTCCAAAAAGCACTTCCCCCTCCCAAAACCACTGTTTCCAGTTTACACAACATGCTCCCATCTTACCTGATCCAACATGCCCTACATACTTGACAAGGCACTTCCCCGTTTCTATGCTCCACAGCAAAGCAGTATGATCTACAAAGATTGAAAAGTAGCAATAAATATTTGTTACAAACATACACTTTTCACTTTTACCTCTGATTCAACAAGCAAGTTAACTTGGACTGTAAGGAAAAGGCCAGTTCCTCTTGATCGTTATCTTACACATATATTTGAAAAATGTTCCTATCATTACAACTTACTTAGCACATCTCTCAAAAGAAGTAAAAGGAGCTACCCCAGTCAGAATGATTTTGCACAAGTACAGAAAGGCAAATTTTTCCTAACTTGAGTATATACTTATGTATAATGTTCTGATCACCTGTCATGAGATTAAGAAACACAAAGAGTTCAGCAATGAAAAACTCAATGAGTCACTAGGAACAAAAGTTCTATACACAAACTATTTACTTTATGCTTAGAAGTCTCAAATGCATGTGTCTGCTGAACACTATGAAAATTTACTTAAAAAGGACTCCAAATGTCACTACTTTACCCACCCACAACCGCAAGTGAATTATTAATACAAGTATTTTTTAACCAAGGAAAACTTTTATCCTGATTTGGAGAACGGCTGCTTCCAAGTTAAATCAGTACAAAGACAAAATGTGCCCCTCAGTGAGCATATAAAAATGATAAAAGTTCAGTTTATGAAGCAAAAAAGGTTTCTGGTCCATAGTATTTGTGTATGGTAAGTTGCCCTCAATTTTTATTTCCTCTTCAAAAGACTGACAACTCAAACTGACTAACTCTAACTGATTATGATTTATTTCCTAATATTGTTGCAAACACACAAGCCTCTAGACTCATTTTTGGATCATCACAGGTACTACTGAATAAGTCAGTAAATCTGTTTCCTCTCTTCAGTGGAGAGTGAGAAATCTAGTTAGATGCATAACAACTGACAAAATAAGGTTTTTAGCTGCCTCTAGATCCTTAAGCAACAGCCCAAAGAGCTTAAGTACACAAGAATATGCAAACTATGAAACCCATGTCAGCAGATTTTATAATGCTAAGTAACACTGATAGAGAACCTTACAGGGAGCAAGACACCTCTTCAAGCAAGCAGCTCCAATAACCTTCCATTTACATCATCCAACAAGCCAGACCTGGCCCTATGGGAAGAGTGACCTGCACCAAAGCTAACTGACATATACTTAAGAAAAATGAGGATGTTTGAATTTTCTACAGGATAAATGCATTTCAAGGAAGGTCCAATTTATTTTTGAGCTACTGAACTCCTTTAAATCAACTCTTTCAGTGTTCAGTGGTGGTATGAAGAATTCAGGTACACTCTTGATGTACACTTGCTTTTATTTAGAGTTTAAACCAGAATTTTCTGAATGTGCAAGCAACACAAAAGCTTACCAGCAGAGGCAGTTCCCAAAACCACTGGCTGAGTTTTCGCAACACTGACATCCCAAATTCCATCCCTGTGGCCAACATATTCCTTTACCAGCTGACAGATTGCTCTTGATGTTGTAGTTTTAAAGCTGGATACAATCTGAAAGAGTAGAAAGATGAAATTTTTCTCACACAGACACAAGATTAAGTAATTATTTTACAAACACAAATAGATACCATTGCTAAGAAATATTTGATGATAGAAAAGCAAGTTGCAAGGCAAACATACTTGATTTCTTACAGCATGCCCCTATTTACAGAAGGCTAAACTACTCTGTACTACAGTAATACAATGTCATTGGAGTAATCAGTTGTACAAATGTAGTGTGAACTTCCTATCAGGTGTGGGTGAGGATTATTAAAAAAAGTCTATTCCCAAACAACTTCATCAGACAACTTAAAGACAGTCCATGAAGTCGAGTGTATTGTCTTTGATAATATGCACTATTGTATGATTCCAATAAAGTACAGAAACATTCAATTTCACAAACTCAACTCCATTTTTTTCAGAACTGCAAAAAGCTAACCACATCAAACACTAACCTGAGAGCACCTGCCAGGTTCTGTGTAATAACACATTTTAAAGGTTCATCAAACATTTAGATGAGTTTGACGATTACATTCCCTCAATGTTAAGGGAAAATAGAGAAGACTCAAATTAATATGTGCATAAATCATACTAAATTAAAGGAAAAAAAAAGTAGCAAAAATGGGAGAACTGCAAGATACTATAATAAAAGAAAACCGAAAACTCCAGACAATAAAGGTATCACACTTGCAGAAATTTTCAGATAACAGAGGACTGTAGTACTTCTAAAATAAACAAACTTTCTTGCTTTCTTGTAACATTTCCACAGACAACAGAAAACAAGAATGCTAAAAAATTGCTCAAGAAAAAAAAAAGCAAAGCTAAAGTTATAAATATCCTATTATTACCCCACAAATATTTATCTCACAAATTCATAACTGAACTTTGCAAAAGACTTTCTGAAAAGCTTTAAAACAAAAGCAAACAAAGCAATTCTTCAGTGCTTTGCTCAGCATGCAATTACGGGACAGTATCTATCTGCATGACCTGTTGATTCAAAACCTTTGAATACTTCAACACAAACCACATCTTCAACTTCATAAAAGTTAGGAAACTAATTGTCTACATTTCAAATACAGTAAAAGGTATAATACAAAAAACATTAAAAGTTAAAATCCTATTCATTTGTGGTAACAAAAAGGCTCTGAGGCATGTCATTAACTTCTAAAAACCTTAATTTGCTTTAAAGGACATCTTTAAGACTTAAAACTAGAATATTCCAAATCCTGAGCATGACAGCTTTCCAGTGGTAAAATGACAATGCCCTATTGGAATTTCAAATTAACTGTTAGTGTGCATTCCTATTTTATATCAACAGAAGCAACAATCATTAAGGTTGCATTGAAAGGAAAACAGGTTAATGGCAAAAATTAATAGTTCACACTACAGTTTCATAGGTTTTTACTACGACCACATGGATGAGATTTTAACATTGGACATGGTCCTTGAACTAAACTGAATAATAGATGAGAAATGGAACAGTAGAATTAAGTAAACATACAGTGCTCCTCTCAGATTTCAAAATAAGTTTTTCAACTCTCAATCCTATACTCAAACTACACTTGCACTCTGTTATTCTAATTTTGAGTCAAATCCTTATGCAAAAGTTTCTGGGGAAAAACCCCTCTTCTATTAATCAACGAGTACAAACATTTCCAAAACTTCTGCACAGTTCAATAATTACTTAATGACAAGGCCATAATACTCCTTTTTAGTATAAGCCATTTTCTACAAACACAGGGAGTCAGAAATTCAAGAACACTACAAACTTATAGACAGTCATAGATACTGATTTAATTGACACTTTCTCTACACATGAAATCTTTGGGTTGTTGGTTGGTTTTTTTGTTTGTTTTTAATTCCTACTAGCTGTATCTCACTTCATATGCTAGTTATTGGCTCAGCTGGTGTCAAGGTTATTTCTTGGCTCTTTACGCATTCAAACATTTTTCCAAGAAAAGAAAGCAAATGTTTAAATGCCATTGTACAGGTCTGAGGAAAATTTTTAAATTATTTCAGCAGATCTCAAAGTTTCGTATGCAGATAACCAGGTAATATCTGACTGTGTTTCAGCTTTGTCCTATTTGTTAAATCCATATAACTTCACATACTTCCTTCTATACAGAGAACTCAATTCTCTGCAAGTAAACTCAGTCAACTCATTTTTATTTCCCTCATCAAAATGCTAGTTCTCCTTAAAGAGCTATTGCTCGTGCATATGCACACAAATGTTGTCCCCCCTTCACCATCCATTTTTTTCCTAAATGAGTAGTTACTGTAAAAAAAGTAATAGTGTGGTACAAGTAATGAGAAATTAATGCATCCAAGATAAAGATACTGTTCTTCCCGAGGCAGATCTACATAAAAAAAACAGCACTACTCAGCTTAAAGAAACTATAATTTAAGGCAGCCACATTAGTCTCATGAGTACACACTGATGAGTAGAGATTTAATTTGTCTCATACCTTGCTAGTAGATGCCTTGTAAGTTGTCTTTAATTTCTGAGAAAGTTGACTGGTACTATGGCTGGCTGTTGAGACAAATAAATTCAAAGGAAGATATTTCAAACAACATTAATTTATTTTTATAAGTAACTTGTCAATAGATTCCGAGTTTGGACCAACCAAGTACAAAAAAATTACATTCAAAAATACAATTTAAGATTCCTTGTGGTTCTCTGACCTTTTGTTTTCAGTTGTCCTTTGCTCAGTTCAGCTCCATCAATTGTCTGTCCTTCGGCTGCTAAACGCTCATTAAGCGTATCAATCTCTCTACGTACTGATAACAAAAATTCAAATTAATACAAAAAAAGAAGTACCATTAACAATATCATTAACATTCACAATAAGAAGCGTTACGGTTAACAAGTAATGTGTCTTACACTGAAGACAGGAAAAGAGATGAACTTTAATTTTATAGAAGCAATTCTCACAATGACATAAACAAAGACTCATGCTGAATCTTCCAGAGATCTACCTTGACCCAGATTCCAAGGAAAGCATTGGTGGCTTCTAATTAGATATTTTTACTATTAAATGTGACTAAATATTAACAAAGCAATTTCTGTTAAATATATGGTCCACCTATGCTGACTCAAATCCAATAGAAAGCAGAAAACTTACTAATTGTGTAGCTAGTATATTTATGGCAATGTATGTTGCTTCTTGACAAAGACTTCATTAATCATCAAATAGTATTCTTCCCTGACCTCTTGTTTACAGTTAGAGAATCCACAAAAAAAGAGCGCAAAGACACATTTTATTCTTTGAGATACATTAAAAATGCAGAAGAATAATGTATATATTTTACATTCAAGTATTTTGGAAACATTAAGTACCATCAGAATATTTTTTGCACTTAACACAAACTATTCATTTGAAACAAGAATGTGCTTTTCTCTCAATTACTTATAACCCTTGCCAGCGTCATTTGAACAACAGAGCAATGGTACAGCAAGATCAGGTACTCTTAAGAGATTTCCAGTTGCTTAGCTGGTTTAAATGGTTTGATTTCACTTCACAAAGAACATTACCAGTGGCTTACAGTTATTCCTTAAAATCTGGGCTGATATCTTTAAACATCTTCCTCAAGTCAAATTTCATTGAAAGCCTTTAGCCAGGCAGTTTTCAGCTTGTTCTCAAGAATAAGGCTAGGTCTGCCTTTCCCACAAATTCTTACAACTTTCTCAAAAAAATGTCATTTGTTCCTAGACTTTGAGACAATTTCTGATTTGGGAGAATGTGATCCATTAGGATTGTGGTTTTTCCTCATTTCTGAGAAATGCACAACAGAAGTCTCAGTCATAAGCTCTAAAAAAAAAGCCAGCTTACACTTGCATACCACCTCCAGTTTGCTGGAAATGAGTAAAGCAGGATTCTCTTTCCTGTATTTCTACTCACAAACACCTAAACTTACTAAACACAAAATGAAAGAGAAGTAAACAAAGACAGATGACTGAAACAAACAAGTCAGGGAGATTAAAATAAACAGCCAGAAGAATTAAGGAATTAATTAAAGAATTAGAAGAGACTAGAAAGTAGTTGTAATAAGGGAAAGAGAATACACGAAAAACCAGGAAGGAAAACCTGGGATTCTCTACTGAATGTAACTGCAACACCAATGAAGGAGTTAGACCAAGAGCCAAAATAACAGTGAACAACTTGGAAGTCATCCTGGGGGCTGAGAGATCACAAATACCAGGAGTGAAACATACCTTTCTGGAGAAAGGTCCAGAAGTAAAAGAAATGGGATTGATGGAAAATTATTACACTCTGAGAATTACAGGCAAATTCACTGTTTGCTTTTCTGACGAGCTTTTGTGAAGTTTCATGAAAGTTTTATGTAGGGAAAAAAAAAAACAACCAAGAACAAACTTTTCTCACTTCCAGCCAACTTAGCAGGAGACTGAAAAGTCAGGTGTGCAAACTTCCACTAACGTAAAAAAAAAAAAGGCGTAGTGTTGAAAGCATTTAACCAATACAATCTCAGCTTTTTAATAGAATAAAAAAGCAGCACATTTCCAATAACAAAGCAAGAATGTTATTGTAACTTGAGTGTTTAACAGTAAGAATAGCTAAAATGTGGAAAAAGGTTTAACATGGAGCCAAGGTAGACAGGTTTGACAATGCAGAAGCCAAGCTTCCAAAACCCAACAAGGAAAATTTAGGAGGGGCTTTACTATATAGCTGCTTGTGTTACTCCAGATTGTACATCACTTTGGATCACTTCAATATGTTATATTACACGTCATATTTTTTTGCAGATAACACTTGGAGTGTTTTTACTGAGTGTTTTAACTGAGTGCTCAACTTCAAAACTCATGAGCAGCTGCAGGTGCTAGTTACATGATGCACTAACAAGCACTTTCAATACAAGTTCAAAACAACTGTTAAATGCCGCGCAGAAAAACTCAATTGATTACATTACAGCACTCAGTGCAATCTTTTCAAGTACTATCCTAGATTCAATGAGTTGCCAGAAAAACTATATACTCACATTCCAAATTTTCAATATATAAATTTTCAAACTCCCGCTCTATTTGTCCAAAAAGTTCAAGGAGTGTGTTCCGAACAGAAGATGGTAGTTTAGAATCCTAGGAGGCAAAACATCAGGTTTAACATTTAGTTACATATATATACACTAAGTTAAATATGTAATGTATTTAATACATATAATTAAACTTAGCATTAAATTAAAGATGTATATATATACACATCTCTAATTGTGTTTCAATCTTAAGCTCGCTTTAAAAGTTTTCTAACTCCTGACAAAAAGGAAACTTAAAACTTCTTCTGGAATGTAACATCAAATAAAACCTGGGGCACCTTTCTGTACAAGGTAATTTGTGTTATGTACTCTTTCAAAGGACAGAACTCAAGTGCACAGATTTTTTTATACATATATACTGAACAATTATAAAAAAAATACAACTCATTATAGAAAAAAATGAAAAAAGTTGTTGAATTGTCCAAATGCTTTTAGACAAAGAGGAAAAACACCTTTGGTTGACCAAGTATTTCAGAAGTTGACTACACACGACTTAAGGTGTTTTGCAATGATAGTTTATTTACTAAAGCTTTAGACAAACTTACCTTTTAAATAGTTACCTACTCTTATCACTAAATGTAACTAAGCAAGAAAGAAACAGCAATTTCTAATCCCTCTCTCCTCATGTATTATTCTAGAAATCTCCTCTTCACAGAGGATATTTTCAGGCAAATGTACAGAGAAGGGCTGAATTTTTCTTCTGCAGAACTAATCTAACACTTCTGAGGAATAAAAATAAGTACAGGATAAAACCACCAACGAAAGATGTAAATGACCTCAGTACACAGCTGGCTCACGAGTTTCTGTAGGCAGCTGAATTTTATTGACTTGCCTACAAAACAGGGTTCAACACCATGTTTTCAGTAAAGAAACACACACCGCATCCCAACCAACCAAGTATTGATTTCTGCTGGGATTCAAGGTGCATCAGTGCATCAATTACCGAAAGCTGCTGAGAAGACAGCGAGTAAAGACAACTGAATGTAATACACTGATAAACTCAAGATGCAGCATTAACCAATATTTTATAAAATTTAAAGCAAAGTGCACCACTGAAAAATGGCAAGGAAGAAAAGAAAAAATATAGACTAATGACAATATAATAACCACACTAAATCAATCTACTAGCTGCTCTAATCTACAAATATGAATCAATAATTGGGCCATCCTTGTGCAATATACAAGTAAATTCTACTAAAAGTATTCCTTTCTTCAGTTGCTGATACACTGCAACATAGAGCTGGCTTATGCAGTTATTACTTATCTAGTTAGCCAATTGTTTCAAGAAGAGTTTCTGCTTAGTGAGCCTTACCCTAACAGTAAAAAGGCCCAACTACTCCCTTCCCTGAAGGCATTCAAGGCCAGGCTGGATGTGGCTCTGGGCAGCCTGGTCTGGTAGTTGGCAACCCTGCACATAGCAGGGGGGTTGAAACTAGATGATCACTGTGGTCCTTTTCAACTCATTCTGTAATTCTATGATTCTTCCCAGCATAACTGTCATCTCAGCATTCACCTATCAAATACATCGGACGTGTGCATTTAAGCAACTTAAAAAAAAAAAAAAAGAAAGAAAGAAAGAAAATGTGAAATAAAGAAAAGTATTTAATTTCAAAGTCTTGAAATCATCAGCTATTAAAAAAAAAAAAATCCAGTCTGCTTCTGCCACAATGCAAATCACCACTATTAGAGGTCTTAAGTTATAGAAAAACCATTACAGAACATAACATTAATACAGGACATCACCCAAATTATAGTGAACATCATTATTTCAAAGGAAGTTTAATGATGATTATGGTTTGTTTCACTGTTCCAGCAAAGCCAAACCAAAAAGAAATTGCTTCCATTCTTATAAACTGAAACACGAACAACTGTGCAAGGTAGCCACTAGAGAGCAGCAGGCATCTTTGATCAAGTCAAGCAACCAGAACTAAACATAATACTCTAGTTCTTACGTTCAGGATGACTATCTTCAGAAAGCCAGATAGGTTATTTATGGACATCGAGTTTAAGGACAAGAGCAAGAGGAATCACTAATAGATGCGCACAGAGCACACCTGCTTTGTGCATGAGTCAGTCTTATACGAACAATGCAATACTTTCAGCTTGCTAATTTCAACTCACAGAAACAGGCACAATGCTGAAAGGAGCAATCCTGTGCTCCTCACAAATTAAGCACTGTTAAGAGAAACACTAAAGATTGAACAAATACTTCAGATTTAACTACCCACTAATTCCAGATTATAAAAGAAGTTCATTTATCCTACTAAAACTTCAGAATATAGGGAAGGTTTTTAAAACCTCCTTCTCAGAGCCTGGAAGCATTAGCAAATCTAAACCAACATGGTTGGTTAAAGTAACCAACATGGTAAAAAAAAAACACAAACATTACCCAGATCTCACTTCATTTATAGCTCCATTGTGAAACAGCATTAATATTCTCTACAAGTTAGAATCGGCCAGTGGACTGTTCAAGGTTAAGTCAACAAATTAAGAAAGATAATTGATGAAGCATTTAAAAATTCTACATATCATACTGTAATACATTTGTAGAGTTTGATGAGAAATACCAAAATAGGTTAATATTTTTGTTTTCTACATAGATGCAGCATCAAGGTTTGATCTCTCAGCTGTCCTTTGTTCCTGAAGTAAGGCTGCAACTGTTTTCAGTTACAGGACATGAGTAGTCTCCTGTGCAGGAAAGTATTTAAATACAACTTTCAGATGACAAAACTAACATTGTAATTAATTGAATAACAGACTCAGTAAGAAAGCCTGTCACAACAGTGAAATACAAGCTATTCACTTCAGAGTACCAGCAGACAGCCCAGAAGAGAAAGTGAGATTTCGCACAGCAAAACAGTATTTCAAAATAACTCTCTGATACAAATCAAGTTTTACATCATCTTTGCCAGGCCCACATTAACACTGCATATTCAGTTTGATACTAAGTAGTCTTCTAACTGTTATTTGCTTATGTTAGCCAGCACTGCTTGAAACACTTCCTGTAGGAGTGTTAGCTACAGTTAATTTCAATATTGTAAGGTGAAGCATTAGGCTCCCGACTACATTCACTACTGAGGCTGACATGATTATAAACATTATGGAAGTTTCTTATTGTTGTTCATTCATTTAAATTTACGCGCACAGAAAAACCGCATCTGCAATTGAGACAAGTTCAAAAACAAAACAAAAAACCCCACCGAAAAATATAAGTTAGCTCACACCTGTCAAGCAGGCAGAAATACAGCCAAGTAGAGAGTATTTCACTCTACAGGAAGGAAAGCCAAATTGCGTAACCACCAATACCTTCCCTTTCAGAGTTGTAGTAACAAATATTTCAGTTTATTCGTAGTCCTGAGTAACTACTATTCCAAATTCAAACTTAAGAAATCATGAATCATTCTTCAGCTTTGAGATGTGGGGAGATGCAGGGGGAGGCACAGCATGCTGAATAGGGTGTTTCTTTGTTAAAGGTTTTACCACTCATGTAAGAATATGTAAAAGCTAATAAAAGGTTTCATGAGCCTGGAAACTGCCTGAAACACTGCCAGTATCTGCATCAATCATCCTTCAAAGATGGTCAGCACTGAAAGCAAACAAGTCTGTTGTTTCCCTGGCTTTCCTAGATGTATTTCATTACTTATTTTTGTTTTTTTCCACATAGAATACACTGTTCATAAAAAAAAACCCACCCCCCACTAAGGAAGTTACCTAAGCAGAGGTGTATTACTTTACCTGCCCTTCCAACATGTCTCTCTGCAGTCCTGCCCGTTCTTGCTCAGAACTGTTGGTTCTTCGGATCGAAAGACTGTGCGATTTGCGTTTCTGCTTTGCTTGGCGAGCAGATGCACAACTTCCACTTTCTATTGGCATTACTTCAGAAAAACAGCTTCACAGAGGCTCCTACAATAAACTAAGGACAAGCATTAAACGTCACCAATTGCTCTGCCAAAGCAACTGAAGTTTAACACTCTTCCTCCAAATAAAAATATTAGGTATACTACATTTTGGAGTTGTTTGGGGTGTCATTAAAGCAGAGAGCTCCTTATTACTTAGAGCTATTTGGGAAACAACATTAAACTCAAAAACATGTAAGTTACTATGCAAATAAAGAATGGGATCATTTTCTGCATTGCTTTTGATTTAGCTAACAAACAACCACAAAAGGAAAAGAGAATTCATTGCCTCCCTGACTTTGGTGAGTACCAGCAGCAATAGCCCCAAAACGCTTCCAGGAAACAATTATTACGCATACCATATTTCACTCAAATGCATGCAAAATTAAAACCCAGCTGGAAAATGAAAGCAAACAGACATGATAACTTAGGGACACTGTCAGGTTAGGAATGTATAATGCAACGTTAAGCACTAGTGTACAAAATTGAATTCATGTGCTTGTTTACGTATAGCAGATGCATGTCCAATGACTTTCCAACATTTCTGACAGCTCACAGTTTCACCATCTTAGAAAGTAAAAGTGCATTTGACCTATCAGGACAGTGAAAGTGAGCCTGACTTGCCAGGCTGCTGTTGCTAATTTTTAAACTTTGGCAGCTTGTTATGTCAAATATGCATTTTAGTATCCTTACAACACCTGACAGTATCACTGAATGGTATTACCATGCATGATCTACTGCTTTCCCCTGCTTAAGAAAAATCAAATGGTGTTTGATTTCTTGCATAAACAAGTGGAGATGTTCTTCAGACAAAATATTTTTATTTATTTTTTAAAAACAAACCATTTCTGGATTTTTTTTTATTTTTTTTTTAATTAAACCCAATATTCAGCAGAAATTACTTTTAGCTTTACAAGGTACCAGCTGCTAAATGTTCCAAGGATTTTAGGAATTATTATTCAATTTTTTTTTTTTAATCATGAACATTGAGAACAAAATAAAAATTCATTCTCCAGCATAAATGATTTCCAAAACAACAATTATAACTTAAAATAACTGCAACAGTCTGCAGAGAAATAGGAGAGCAGAGTTGGCAAAGCTGACAAGGCAACTGAGCTTCCTTTCAGACAAGCTGATCAAAGAAAAATATAAACCAAACCCAGGGCCACTTCCAATTTAAGATCTGCCAACACACCAGATCTCAAGCTAGGAATGAGCACCAGCACTATGAAGAAGATCCAACCTTAACCAGTTTAGTGAATTCAACAGGTATTCTTAACTTTTTAACATATCGTAAAGCCAAGGAAAAGTATTGCTTACTAAAAGAATAAAAACAGCTTTAAGTTTGCCTTTGTTTCTATACCACTGTATAAAAATATATAAAGATAGATAAATAAGACTGGATTTAACTAGGGGTTTTATGCCCATAATCCTCACACCTTCTCAAAAAGTACCCAGTATTTTATTAGCTACTGGAACATCTGAGTTCCAGCAACCTGACACCAAACCCACAGGGAATCTAGAACAAAAATTCAGGTCGTCCCAGTATTCTGTTCTTCATTGAAAGGATTTTATTAATTTCCACTGGACTCTGCACAGTCCTCCCCCGCACCTAATCCCACTGGAGTTTTTCACATGTGATTAATCAGCAGTAACTAATTTGGTTTATATATATATATATATAAACCTAAGAAGAAAGTAAAGAACTGCCATTAGATAGTTTCTTATTTCACTAGGTCTCATTTTTCCCTGTGTCTACACGCCTCTATCATAGAAATACAGGGCTGAAACTTAAAAAAAAAAAAAAAAAAAGTCAACCCTGTAATCAAGTTACTGCCAATTTTCTGGGCTTCACTGAATATCTTCCTGTTCTTTAACATATGGCTAAGAATTAGGAACAGGCTTGCAGCACTCACCATGTTTGCATTTCTTTTCAAGCTATGACTGGATACCAAACACGACTGAAGATTCTCCTCTTTTCTATTCTCTGTTACCTCACTTGGGAACCACTCTTTCGGTGCTTTTCAGTTTAGAGGTTCCTGCAGTGTGGCCCAATGCAACAAACTGTGTGCAGACAGATGCACTGAACAGTTATACATCTATACATACACACAGTTGCATACAATCACAAAAATCAGCTTACACCATTCACTTAAATGCCACAAAAAGAAATCTAACAACCAGTTCCTGTCAGCTACCGGCTTCTAAGCTGTGGGTGTATACAGAGGCATTAATACGGTTTGTAGTTACTCTTACTATGCATTGTTCTTACTGTGTCAATTTCTACTTGCCCTCTGCTGCCAAGCTACTTCATTTCAGAGCACTTCACCAAGAAACACACTGTTCTGGACTGCTCTGGGACACATAGATTCAGTAGCTATAGAGCAGCACGCTGTGCCATGTAGAATTTAAAGGGACACAGTCAAGGACGCAAGATGATTATTTTCACAGGGTGAAATTCTCACATGAAATACACAGGAGTTTCTACTTCCACAGCGAACAGAACAGGCCAGATACGAAGCACTCGCCGTGCTCTGCTCAAGCCCCAGCGTGACCACATCCATGCACTGTTTGGGAGAGCAAGCATGCACAGCTCCCTGCAGCGGGCTGCACGCAGCCAGAGCAAAGCTGTAACCCAGAGGCGACAAGCAGGCATGTGCACAGAGACAGGAAGGAGGAACAGAGGGGGTCCGGCTTAACTGCTTTTCATATTACTCTTACTTCCACCAAAAGGCCACGTCACCTTTCAGTAAGGGAGCAGTAACGACCAGTTTATAAAAGCCAGACATAAATTTGAGTACAAAAGTCATGACGGTGTCCCTTTAAACACGAACTTCTCTTTGAAATTTCAGAAATGTTTTCAACACTGGCTGCAACAGTAAGCAGCTGCAGATTTTCCAAGAGTTGATTTTACAGAACAGATCCTTGGCAATACGATGCTAAAAAAATAAGTACATCAGGTGCTCATTTCTAGCAGTTACCTGATTCCCCTCATTACGTAAGGTTGTCAAACAGCGAGAATTACCTGTCCAGAATATCAGTGTCATGTTACATATCCTATGAAAACCACATTAAATATTGATTAGTGAAACAGTCAGTAGTACACAAACCAAAGTATTTCACATTTTTGAAACATCTGTAGTTAGAACACAGCAGGTGATGGGAAGGGGGCAATGGAGTAGGGAACACACATCAAGGCTGAGCGACAAATCTGAGTCAAGCAAACTAAGAAAAAAGGCATTAAAATGACCCCTCACATATCATTAGTCACATAGTGTTAATCAGAACATTCAAATGTTACAAATGGGTTCTGAGAAGCTGCATTCATTTCCCCCCCACATCCCCTTACAAATAGGGCAAGCAGTGTGAAATATCACCAGGAAGGATGGGAATAGCTTCCTGAATAAATGAAGCTGAATTCACAGAAGCTAGAAATAGAGCAGATAAAAGTGAAAAGTGCTTCCAAAAAAATAGAAAAGGGAAAAAAAAGAATGGTATAACTAAAGTATATTCAGTAAAGGCACGCTGGCAAACAAGCACTCCGTTATTACAAGTGAGCTTCTAAACCATGCTGAGCATTTCTGCTCAGCCATGTTGGAAAATGCCATGTTTGCACAGTGCTCCTCACACAGCGATCTGTCAGAGCCTCAAGAGAATGGCACCAAATGAATTTCTGACCAAGTCAATCAGCAGAAGCAGGGGGAAAAAAAAAAAATGTCCTAAAAAAGAGTCCACAGGTGATTAGAAAAGAGACCAAAGGTGATTACTACTTCCTGAATGTAAAGACACTTCGGTATTTCAATTACGCTGTTTAATTAAACTCAAATCATACTTTACAGTCTGTTAAATTAAAGTTCTGTCACCTACCTTTCTGTAACAGATGTTACCATGTATTCACAAGAAATAGTTCATTAGAGTAACAGTAAACAGCAGATGTGCAGCCAGTTACCAATTTATTCAGCTACAATAAAGAAATGGCACTGAACAAAGATGCCATTGGTCTTGTTGCCCATGCATACTGGTCTCACTACTCAAAAATTAATTCAGTGCAGCAATCAACCAATTCTACTTGCATGCTTCTACTTCTGAACATGGAATAAGAGCAGCAAGCCACTGAAAGGAACTCCTGGAGTGTGGATACTGGTGAGCCAGGAAGAAAATGTTTTAAGAAGTGTCAGAGCTCAGACCAAACAGCTACAGTACTGCATTTCCTTTTTTGTTCATTGAAAACAACATACAGGTCTGGAAATTTCAGCACCATCTCTTACCCAAGATCTCCCTGCTCCATTTTGTTAAAACTTTAGCAATACCAGCACTTACTATTTAAAGGATTGTATCAAAACAATTTTAGTGAATTTCTGTGTGCTCTTAAATCTCTTACACAGTTTCAGGTCTTTCTGTTGCAAATATGCTTCAGAACAAAATTCCAGTGCATACTAAGTAAAAAACAAAGGTTTACTACAACAGTAATTACTGTCCTGTGCAACAACAACACCTTAAGAAATAAAAATGCCAATTAATGTGTTGTTTTCATGCAGCAATGAAGGAAGGGAAAGACAGGAGAATTTTTACAGTTATTAAGTTCTTAATTACATATAACTGAGTTTTGACAGTATTACTTGTGAGTTAAGGGAATTTGAAAGTCAATCTGCACACCTACAACCTTCAGTAATATGCAAAGGTGTCAAATTTAAAAGAGTGAAACTTCCATTTTGAAGTCATAGAATAGAGTCAAAGAATCTATAGAGTTGGAATTGACCTTTAAAGGCCATCTAGCCCAACTCCCCTGCAGTGAACAGGGATACTACAGCTACATCAGGTTACCCAGGGCCTGATCCAGCCTCAATTGAAAGTCTCCAGAGATGGGGCATTAACTACATCTCTAGGCAACCTGTTCCTCACCACTCTCAATGCAAAAGACTTTTTGCTTCTATCTAGTCAAAATCTGCCATCTTTAAGTTTGAAACCTCTTCCCTTTGTTCTATCATCACCAACCCTGCTGAAGAGTCTGTCCCCTTCCTGTAGCTCCCCTTTAGATACTGAAAGGCTGCTATCAGGTCACCTCAAATCCTTCTCTTCTGCAGGCTGAACAGCCCCAGCTCTCTCAGTCTGACCTTGTAGGGAGGTGTTCCATCTCTGGGATCATTTTTGTGGCCCTCTGGATGCGCTCCAAGAGGTCTATGTCCTTCCTGTACTGAGGACTCCACATCTGGACTTCAGTGAACAATTACTTTCAAGGACGCTATATATTCAAATGTAGTTGGTTCAGTACGAATTCCAAGAGTACAGCACACCCAAGAAAGTTCAGGTTAAACAGACTTCTTTGTAATACTGGGTGTTTTTCTAAAGATAAATATTTAGGAAACAAAAGCACTCCTGATCATCACAGATGATGCCAGAACCAGTAATAAGTGCACTCAAACACTACAAAACGCACTCAAGCATTACAGCATGACTTGTTTATTCCTAAATTTAGTACTGCATGCTTTCAAACAAAACTGGATGTTATTTGACATGTCAGAGGGGTAATCAGCAACCAGTGAAAAGGTGACAACTTCCTTCATAAAGAAACTGCACAGATGAATTTTAATTACATTATGCAGCTGGAAGCCAGTGATAAAGACTCCAGCACATTAGTAAATACCCACTCTGAGCAAGCTTCTAACACAAAACTGAAGCATAAAGCAGTCCAGTTTTGCTGCTAGCAAGCTTTGATGCTGCCAATTCGACTATGTCAGCAAATGTTGCAATCCCATCAAAATGCATCACTGACTGAGCCTGCCAACTACCACAGCAAAAAAGCCATATCCTTCACCATATATACTTATTTTAGCTGATATTAAACAATAACTACTATTAAAAATAGATGACTTTTTATCCAGAATATGAAAGAAACCTGGTTGGGTCCACTGATATCATCAGAGGAAGAACTCTGAAGTAGAATTGCTGAAGTACTGAAAGCATACAGCATTCCTTAGAGAGCTGTGTTAACCACACTCACTGAATATGCTGTTTCAATTAGCTTAAATACTACATGCAACATACCATACAACCTTGCATTTAACACTGTGAATACCTATCTACCCAAATATGTATTGTGCTTTGTTTTATTAATGAGTATTGATCAGCTGATTTTTCTTGGACAGTTCAATAAAGAACATCAAGTCCTGCTAAATGACTTTCTGCCAGCTCAGTCCTAAAGAGCAGCCTCCAAACATGCTTTGTTTCCTTAGCTGTCTCACAGACCCTTTAGCTCTCACTCCTGTATTAGCAAATCCCTAACTGCTCAGGAGCAGTCTGGCTGCATGCACAGGTATGCAAATACAAGACCTGAGGGTGAGGAATCCCAAGGAAGTTCAAGCTCAAAGGTGGTTTACCTTAAACAAAAGTATTTGTTTAAGGAAGCACTGCAGCTCATTTAGAGGCCAGAGTCTTACTGTGCTGTCTCTAAACAAACAATGATCAGGCTTTTACTACCTGCATAGCAGATAAACTGATAGCATGTTTTTATGCAAGCAGAATGATCTCTAATGCCCTCATTTAGGAATACATCAGTTGCTAATAAATTAAAATATTTTACTGTTAAGACAGCAACAGAAGCAAGAAGCTCTGACACTAAGTCTAGCACACTCAGCATGCTTTCCTGAAGCACTGATAAGCAACCTTCACACCACACACTCTCTAAGCATTTCCTCGTATGGCCTACCAGATCTCTGGACAGCACGCAACAGCACAGAAAGTCCCCAGTCCTACTGCTCTGCAACACTAAGTCTCACAACCATCAGTAGGAATTACCGGATGGTGAAAATACAACAAACTTCTCTGGCTTGGAAGGAAACTCTCCCAATTCCTGGTGCTGGTCCACGCTGCAGAGGTTGGAAGCAGCAGCATCCCAAACAGGCCTCATAGCCTGGCCTTCATCTCCCAAAACAAGCTGCAAGCCTTTGCTCCAAGGCCTACAAACTCCACAACATAATCCCTGCCTCATCACAAACACACCAATAACACCACCACTTCTACCTGTATGGTGTAGTAACTCTGGTTTGCAGTTTCTAGTTCGTGCAGAAGCTTCTCATTTCCACGCCACTCACAAGACTCCTCACATGACTTACCAACACTCTCAGGCACTTTAGTCAAGAGGCTCAGCAACTATTAAGAAGTCCTAAATTTAACTGTAAGACAAGGTATGAGCATGTCCACATCAGACAGCCTCAGAGATAGTTATATTTAAATGTAACATAATAAACCTAGTTTAAGGACAAGTGTTCACATAGAGAAAGCAGCATTAAAAATACAAATGACAATGGCCCTTTGCCTTGAATTCTAACATCTCATGAATGCACTTCTCAAATAAATTGCCCCAGCCCACAACACACAAAGCTATGTTAACATTAATACAGAAAGACACATTAGGAATGACACATGCAAGCAAGAGATCTTATCTAATATAAACTATTTGTATGAAAATATATCTTTGAAATCTTGATGTTACCAGCTTGCTTTTTAAAATATCATGTAAAGAAAAATGACAACAGCAGGCTTGCCTAGAAAACTGCTTCAGAACTTTGTTTATTGAGAAAGATACTGCTGTGACGTTCCAAACTGAGTGCCTTAACAATAGAGCGTGCATGATTTCAAGGTGTATTCAGTGACACTGAATCACTCCAAAGAAGTGGTTCCACCAGTTCTTTAAGTAAATCTTCCAGGAGCTACTGTTATAGAAAGCATACGTGGAAACATTGTAACAAGTCAAAATTGGAGAGGCTGGAAGAGGCAGCTGCAATGATAAGGACAGGCAGAAGTCTGTCTTCTCAGGTACGCTGAGAACAGACAGCCCTGAACAGCGACTCAAGGCTCAGCTTGAAAAAGTTTTCCTCATCTTTACACAAGCACAGTCTTCATAGTTTCCTCCTTCTGCACCTGGAAACTGAAATCTACTCAACCTTTGAATATAAGAAATATACTCATTCTCCTCCAACATTCATTTCCACAGTACTGAGCTCAGGCAAAGAGAAAGAAATACTGCAAACGAATCACGGTGAAGGTGAGCCACACGCAGCCGAGTTCCAGGCCGCCTCCCGCTGCCCAAGGCCAGCTCTTGCCAGCAGCCCGGCTCTGCCAGCAGCCCGGCTCTGCCAGCTCTGCCGTCCCTGCCCCGCTGCCCGCGGCCTCCCATTCCCGCTCCACCTGCGCACAGAACAGGACTGAGCCCGCGCGTTACCCAGCCGCCACGCCTGGCCCTTCCTCACGCACACAGCAGTGCACACACAGAGTTCGCAGCCTCCTAAGCCGGCGTCCCCGTCTTCGGCCGCTGCGGGACCGGATGATCCCACAGCCTCAGGCTTAGCGGTTACAAAAATAATAACGGGGCGGCTCTCGCTTTCAGGGACGGCCGCGCAGGTCACCTCGCGGGACCGCGTCGGCAGCAACACGCAGGTAACGGCCCCGGGCCCGGCCCGAGCCCCCGGGGATCCGCTGCCGGCCGCGGGGGTCGCGGCGGGCGGGAAGATGGCGGAGGGTCCGCGCCCCGCCGAGGCAGCGGGGAGGGGGCGGCGCGGCCCCGCACTCACCTGTCAGCCCCGGCGGGCGGGCGGGAAGGGGCAGGGCTGCGGGCGGCGGCGGGGGAAGGAGGAGGAGGAAGGCGAGGAAGGGAGGGGAACGGCGGCAGCGAGCAGCCCGGCGCCGCGCTCCGACAACGACGCGCCCGTCGGCTGAGCGGCCCTCGCGGCGACATCCGGCGGTGGGCGGAAGCAACGCGCGGCTCCCGCTCGCCGCCCCGGCGCCATGGAGACCGGGCCCGCCCCGCCCCTCCCTCAGCGCCGCGCTGAGCGCCGAGAGGGTCGGAGCGGCCCGCGTGGGGCCGATACAGCAGGGGGTTGCGGTACTGCCCGCCCGAGTCCCGCCCGCTGCTTCTCCCCCATGAGGGGCAGCAGACGGCTGCCCGGCGCCTCTGGGGAAACGTGCCTGAAGCACTGCTGGGATTCCTGGGTTTTGGCAGGGAAATGCCAGATCCGTAATTCTCGTTTGTCTGCAGCGTGGCAGGAACGGTAAATCAAGGGCGAGTGCTGCGTTCTGCGAGCGGGCTGCTGGCTTTGAAGCGTACAACTCATAATTGAAATGGGATTTGTTCCTTTGGTGATTAACGCTCAGAAGCCTCCACCTCACATTCCTATTCATTGCGGCGGATGATGAAAGTCAAAAGAGGCCTCTGCCTAATTATTTCCTCTCCTCCCTCAGATGCCTGCAGCCTCAGAAGAGGTCCGTGGAAAGGCCAGAGAACATGTGCCTTATTGCAAGGGCTAAAATGATTAGCACATTTTCTTTTCATGTCCTTCCCAGCTACAGCTGTGCCAGCCGATCTCTTTTGTCTTCTTTTTTCCTTTCTACCTCCTTTTGTGCGCTCTTGCCTTAATTGTATCGACACAGACAAAATCCACGTGGTTTAGCTACATACTGGCATCTTCACTGGACGTTGTGTTCCAAGACAAGCAGCCTAATGGCTTGAGGACATCCTTTTTTTTCCTGTTCCCTTATTTTCAGTGCCACCAAAGGCAGCAGGGAACAGAGCAAAAAGAATATCTCAATAGCTTCAAGGAGAGGGAGACAGCACCAGCAGAAGAAGATGGACAGGAGGTAGAACAGAGCTGTCTGGGGTGGAACACAACCTCAATAGATGCCACTGTTGACCACTTTGAATTCTGTCTGTAATCGGTGCAATTGCAGTTATCTCAGCCATGTTATCCAAGTCACAGCTGAAGTCCTCAGCGATTCAAAACCCAGCTAAATGTTTAAGCCTTATTATCCCTACAAAAATCACATCATCCTAATACAATACTACTGTACCATTACATTTTTATGGAGGAAGAAATGGGGGGGAAAAATGCCAGAAATCACACATGAATCCACATCCAAGATTTCCCTGCAGTAACATTTCTCTGCAACACTCCCTCCCTCGCTCACTCACTCTCTCTCTAACAGCAGGGGGCAATAAAGATAGCACCATTTCTTTCCCGAAGAAGCAATGTGAAATACCGCAGTAAGGAAATGATATTTAAATGATTTCTTCCTTGATACGGGCCAACTCTCACCTGAAAACCAGCAGGCCTCATATGGAAATGTGTGGTAAATGGCACTGCTATCACACCAGCCCTGTGACCATTTTGGTTTTGATATGCATCCCAGGGGTAACAAGGCACTGTTTAGTCTACAGCAGCAAGTGAAGAACAAACTGCCTTTCACAAGCTACTTGATTTTTAAAAAGGACACTTAGATAACTATACAGGAGCCTAGAAAAATATGGGGCAGGATTAGTCAGCTTATCAAGAGTTAAGTGAGGGTTTTGTTGTCGCTGCTGTTTTGTTATTAAATAAACATTAGTATAGTGGTAAAAGTTAGGGTTTTTTTTTCCTGGATATCACCTTCCAGACCATCTGCAGCTCTCCTTCCTTACTCATGGCTGGATTGAGAACGCATGATACAAGGTTTAGGAAACAAGCAAAAGAACAGAACATTCAAGCTCCAAAACAAAACAAAACAAAAATTAAAAAAAAATTCAAAGCCTGCAAAAGTGGAAGCAGGAAAAGGCAGGCTTCCTATCTGGTGCTCAAACTAAAAGAAAGAAAAACAGATCTAGAGGAGAAAAGCACTGTAGGAGATCATTTCTTCCTTCATATAAGAAATTTCTTAATAACTCCTGGCTAAATGTGCTGTTTACTATATTATTTATCATCACCTTATGCTGTGCAGGAGCTTCCAGAAGCTCTCTATCACAGCTGTCTATCCTCTGAAGCAAGCTAAAAGCAATGCACCCTTCTGAAAAAGTGTTCTAAGAATGAAGGGCCAAACAAACTGCAGATTGTTTAGGACAGGGACGTACTACCTGCCAGAACTGATGAAGTGCAGGCTAGTGTTGGCTCTGCATCCTTCAGACAAATATTTTCTGAAGAGCTATGTCTCTGGGCTAGAAGCAGACTTCTAGAAGGATTCCTCAGGGAGATCAGGAGCTGGGAAAGCTCTGTAGCTAAAAAGAGCAAGCTGGCAGTCTTAAGCTTTAGAACAAATGAGCAGGAAGCATTTAAAAAATGGCAGACTGAATGTGATGAATGGAGAAACAATATATTTTCTTTGGCAAATGTAGAACCTCAGTTCTACAGGGGATAGGTTTATTCCACAAGTCTGTGTGTTGTAGATTGAGGTCCAATGCCATGATACTCTGCATTTATTTATCCTGTAGTTTGCTACCTTCTAGTTTACCTTCCTGGGTAATTAAGATGTTCTGCTCCAGTTTGTGGGATTTGCATTTCCCTTTAATTGAGCAGACATGAAATGCCATCAGTGATTTGCAGCTGTTTGAATTTTCAGGTGAAATGACAGACTTCCCAGCAGTGACAAGAAACTGCTTTCTTTGTTTTCCTTCTTGATACAGTGTTTGAAAATAATCAGCAGACTTCAAGAAATGCATAAATTAAATCAAGTCTTAAAGAAATATACGTGTCATCTTTCTGTTTATGCAGGGTGGAGCAAAACTTCTGAGGTTTCAAGGTAATGTATAGCATTACAAAAGCTATGATGTTTTATTTTCACAATAACACAAATAGCTTGTTTGAAGGTACAGGGCAAGGCTGGAGGAGGGGGAGTGAGTGAGATGAAAGATGATACAGATGACATCAAACACCTGATGCTGAAAGTGCTTTTAGTGAAAAGCTTGGGAGATCTCTCACTTGTCTGTTTTGTGATAAGGGTTTGTTTTGACTCTGCTGTCCTTTCTGGCTGCTCGTTTATCTCTTATTATCCACTGGGAACTGGGACACATTGCTCACAAACATTAGTACAGGTGAAATACTTTGCTTCTCTGCCCAGAGCTAAAGACAGACATTTCTGACAGTCAGGTTCTAAAATGCTTCATTACTAGGGAAGAAATATCTTCCTCATACTGTAGGAACACTCTTCTGTGTGCTTCCATTGCATAGCCTGAATAATCACTGTGTATATCTGCACATGTAGAATGACCTGATCTGAGTAGTTCACCTTGACATCTTGCCTGTGCTCGATTTCTGTCCAGAAAAGGTGTTTCTTTCTCTGTCCCTGAAAAAAATCAATGAGTTGGGCAATTTCAGTGCTTGACCAACACCATAACTGTCTTCTATAAACTGCTGCTGACAGTGAGCTGCTCCTCACCTCCCAGCGTGCGGCAGGCTGTAACCTGCATGCACCATGCTCAGCCTCTGTGATGGGCACAGCGCTGCTGCAGGGCAGAGAGCAGCATTCCTGAGTAAATGTTGCTGAGCGTCAGCTCTGCCTCACTTACAGACAGCACCTTTGGCTTTGGAGCAGAAGATTCTTTGCCAGCACAGCTTCATTCTTGGGAGAATGTGCTGTCAACTGGGCTGTCTCTGTATGTGATGCTGGATGTCCTCGGCAGTTAGATTATTTTGACAGATTTGTATAGCTAATACATGGTTACATTAATGAAAGGAAGGGAGACTTGCAAATATGACAGATCTAAGGAAAAGTTGAGGGAACTGGGATTGTTCAGCTTGGATAAGAGAGCCTCCGGGGAGACCTCATTGTGGCCTTCCAAAACTTGAAGGGAGCGTGTAAACAGGAGGGGGAACGGCTGTTTACAAGGGTGGATAATGATAGGACAAGGGGGAATAGTTTTAAACTGAGACAGGAGAGGTTTAGGTTAGATATGAGGCAGAAGTTTTTCACACAGGGGGTGGTGAGACACTGGAACAGGTTGCCCAAGGAGGTTGTGGATGCCCCATCCCTGGAGGCATTCAAGGCCAGGCTGGATGTGGCTCTGGGCAGCCTGGTCTGGTGTTGGGGACCCTGCACAGAGCAGGGGAGTGGAACTGGATGAGCATCGTGGTCCTTTTCAACCCAGGCCACTCTGTGATTCTATGATCTATTTTCCTCTGGAGCAATAAAGCCAGCAAGTCAGGTATATGGTGAACGAGGTATATGGTGAAGGATGTTTGCAAGTCCACAAGTCCCAACCCCCCTTGCTCAGGACGGGCGATTCAAGATAAGGAACCACCTCACACCCCCCCAGTCAGGCCGCGGCTCCGCCCCGCTGGGCTGGTTCTGGCCGGAGGTTTCCTCTCTCTTATTGGCTATCTCTCCGCTATTCCCTGTTCTTATTGGCTAGCGCCTCCACCCAGCCGTGTCGCCATTGGCTGCGCCCGACGCCTTACCCCGCAGTGAGTGAAAGACCCTCCTCCCGGCAGTCCCGCAGCGCGGTGGGGCGATCGGGCGATCCGGTGACGTCAGCGCCTGGACGCTCCGCTATTGGCGGCGGCGGAGTGACGGCGATGTGGCGCGTGCTGCGCCGGGCCGTTGCCGTGGGCCGCCGCGGGACCGCCGTCCTTCAGGGGCGGTGCTGCCGCCTCAGCGCGTGGGGTCACCGCGAAGCGCTGCCGCCGGCCGCCCGTCTGCGCTCGGAGCCGGCCGTGAGGTGAGGCGGGCCGGGGCTGCGCTTGGCGGCCTGCGAGGGAAAGCTCGGGCGGCGCTCCCCGGGGCGAGGGCTGTCCGGCGGCCCGGTTACGCGGAGCCTCGCAGCCCCGCATCGCTCTTGTCTTCCTCGCTGCCCTCAGCAGAGCCTGCGCGGCCGTCACGATGCCCGAGGTGAGCACGGAGCACCTGGACGAGCAGCAGGTGCAGCTGCTGGCTGAGATGTGCATCCTCATCGATGAGAACGACCGTCGGATCGGGGCGGACACGAAGAAGAACTGCCATCTGAATGAGAACATCGACAGAGGTGGGCGCTGCGACCTTCCGCCGAGCCGAGTGGGGCCGGGCGTCCTTACGGGATGCTGGCGGCTACGGCAGCGCGTCCGTGGGTGGAAGGAGCGCGGCTCCTAAAGCCTTTCTCCGTAGGAGAGCTGCCCAGCCCTCTGACCACCTCCACTGCTCTCCCCTGGACCCGCTCCAACACCGCCGCATCTTTCTTGCGCCTGGTTGCAGTGCTCCAGATGGGGTCTCAGGAGGGCGGAGCAATGGGAGACAATCGCTTCCCTCGCCCTGCTGACCACTCCTCTGGTGATCCAACAGGCTGCTGTTGGCCTTAACATGTCGTATTTTAAAATAAAACAACGTGGAGGAAGAACACGGTGATCCACTTCAGCCAATTCTATTAGGAAAGGGTTTTTGTTGTCATTTTAATTGATGGGCTTTCCTTTGGGTTAGTCATATTTGTGAACTTTGCAGTTTGTGCCCTCCGTCTTTCTAGACAAGGAGAATGTTTTCCCAGAAGAATGAGGAACAACAAATACAGAAGTTGTGTTGAGGACAGGAAGGAAAATAAAGAGGCGATGTGTTTCAAGAAGTTTATTTTCCAGTGCCATTTTGAAATTCTCAAATCTTCTTTAAATTTCCTGCACCTTTTTCAGGATTTTTGTGTTGTGTCTTTTTTTGAATGCTGGACGCCGCCTTAGCTTGCCTGGCTGTCCATCTTAAGACTGGTGAATGGGCAGAGCTTCATGTAACTCTTCTGCTGCATTGTTCTTACACTCTTCTAACCTCAATGTTTAGCATAAACTGGCACAGGAACCCAAGGGAAAGCTCTTGAGTTTTTCCTCAAATCCTTGCTTTTAAACACTTGAATTTTGAATTTAGTTTACCAGTAAACTGAGCAATTCCAAGCCTTATGTTTTCTTTTCATGATTCTTTTCCTTCGTAAAACAGCTTTCTGTGTTTTTGCTTTTTAGGTTTATTGCACCGAGCGTTCAGTGTTTTCTTATTTAATACAGAAAATAAACTGCTACTGCAGCAGAGGTCAAACGCTAAAATCACATTTCCAGGTAAGTACTGAAACACATTGCACATGGAATGTATTGCTTTAAATCAGTGCTTTAAGATGTGCCAGTCTAATTTTGCAGTGCAACTCCTGCAGAACGTAACGTGAAGTTCTAAAATGTTTACAGTGGTTTCAGGATTTCCTGATTTGGAAAGGAGATACTTTTAAGAGTTTGGGATGTGCATTTATTGTGGATGGAGCAACACAATGAGAGCACTAGCTTATCATTATATGTGCTCTTGGGAAATTATTGCTCCCTGACTTGTCTGGTCCTGTTTATAGTAAGGATAAACACCATATACTCACCTGTCGCAAGACACATTTAATGACATTGGAGAAATTGTTTTGGTAGATGTGAAGAGTGAGTGTTTTAATTCCTCTGGTTAAGAACAAAGGAGTATTTGGTAGAGACAAATCCAGAAGTATGCATAGAAAGAAGAAGGGGTAGAAATGTTCTCCTTTACATCTGACCATCCTCTATGAATGAGAAACAAAAATGCGGTGTGTTGATTGGCTGCTCTACATCTCAGGGCTTTTGTAGCAATTTATAATGTCAAAAGTGTACTGATAAAAACTTCTTTCAGATTGCTTTACCAACACTTGCTGTAGCCATCCACTGAGCCACCCACTGGAACTGGAAGAAAATGATGCCATTGGAGTTCGGAGAGCAGCACAGAGACGAATGAAAGCAGAGTTAGGAATTCCTATGGAGCAGGTAAAGGAAGGAGAAAGGAGGGGGGTTCTTAACAGCACTAAGAGTCTTCACATCTCACAGGTGTGAAATCTAAAACTGAATTTAACTTTAGAAATGCAGAGGATTTGATGAATTGGAGAATTCTTTTATTCTGGACTGTCAAGGGCCAGGTGCAGATGTTTGTTCATCACTGCTTTCCTAAGCGTACATTAAGCTTTGGTAAATATTATCTGAACTTACAGGGTAAGCCTAACTAGAGAAATGCTGTGCAGTTTACGTGGTCAATGTATAATAACTTTTTTCATATATATATATATATATATTTAAATGCATTGCAATTGTACACTTGAAAAAAAAATTCCTAGGAAGAGAGTAGTATCTGGCAATTGTTCTGTGCTGTCAAGCAGTTCAGCTATTCTGCTTTGCTGCTGGTCCTAACGTGTATTTTGGTTGTAGGTTACTCCGGAAGAAATCTTCTATCTGACACGAATTCACTACAAGGCCAAGTCTGATGGGATCTGGGGTGAACATGAGATAGACTACATCTTATTTGTGCAGAAGGATGTAATGCTGAATCCTGATCCCAATGAGATCCAGAGCTACTGTTATGTAACCCAGAAAGAACTGAAGCAACTTCTGGACAAAGCCTCGAGGAATGAAGTCAAGATTACTCCCTGGTTTAAACTAATTGCAGAGACCTTTCTTTTTAAGTGGTGGGATAACTTACCTAATTTGAACAAATTTGTTGATCATGAAAAAATACACAGAATGTAATAGCTGTAGTGAGAGATGCTGACGGCTGAAGTGATGCCTGGTAACTCAAGTGCAGGGAAAATGGCCCACCTGGAGCATGTTTAACAACTGACTTTGAACAGATGGTTATAGCCAATGATTTTTCCTATCTCTTCACCTCTTCTTCCATCCCAGTAACATAAGAAACCTCCTTGATTCATCTTTCTGTTACCTCATGTGGTGCTAAAGAACCGTCAGCCTGTGTGTACCCAGTTTGCTCTTGCCACCTTGCACACTTACATGTGCTGTAAGGGAGTGTGAGCACTTCCTGCCCAGTTCCTTCATTAGAGATGGTGCATTTTCAATTTTATATCACTACAACTTCCAGAATGCTAATTACAAACCCATGTGAGTTCTGCACTGATGTGACAGAACAGAGTCTGTGAAGAAAAACAATTAATTCAAAGTGATCAGGAGTGTTTTAATTGCAGAAAGATCTCTCTGGCTGCTGTACTGTGTAGTTAATCAGACATGTGAAAGCTCAAGTAATTGGATCATCTGTGTGGACTAAATTTCACTTTGCACTGCTACACGATGTGTTACAGCTTTAGATAATAAACACTGATTTTAAAATTCTTTTTTAAATTTTTTTAGCCATCCCCTGCCTGTTTAGTGAGCAAATACTGCACATCTTTAACTAGAAAGTAATGTTTAATTACCCTAAATGTAGATGGTAGGTAACTCCCTATTGACCATAGCCTGTCTTTGAGATGGAGAGTCTTCCTCACCTTACAGAAAACAGAGGCAGCTTGAGACAAACTTTCTATTGCAACATCTGATTTCTTCCCAATGTCCTGGAAAGCTCAAATCTCCTGAACTCCAAAATTCAGATTGAGAATTTATAGGCATACACAAAGTCTTAATTTCAGTCAAATTAGAAAATCTACTAGAGGGTAAGAGCTAAGCCACAGCCACCCCATGTAGATTTCTGAAGTTAATTTCTCTGGGTTTTCTCAATGAAATAGGGTATTTTCCACACTGATTTTCCCTTTCTTGTGAAACATGATTTTAACTAGTCTGTGTCTGATGGCAAGGTAGATCTGACTTTTCTTGTTTGTTGCTCATCCCAGTTGTGTCCATAGTTCTACACTTAGAGGTTTTAGGGCCAAGTTGTTGTATACTAACCTGAAGCGAAAAATGGTGGAGGGAATAGCAATGCAGTGTAACAGATGTCTTGAATTTGGTTTCATCGGCTACACTACCTAAGTAGCCTCTTTTGAATACCTTCTGAAATACCTGAATTACTTTTAAATGTTCACTTAGGGCTGACTATTAAAATTGTTAACCTAAAAACCTGGGCTAGGCTTTTCTTTTTAGACATGGGAACAAAATGCTGAGTAAGCACTGAAGTGATATGGTTGGGAGTGAACAAGGTGTGGTTTTATTTTAACACAAGTTCAAATAGTCAACTCGGGGCAAAAGCTGGGAAAACAGCCTACCATAGAAACAGTGAGCATAAAGACAACAGCAAAGTTTTCCCAAACACTTCTTAAAATCCTGTGAACAGTTTTAAGTACTTTTTGAACTTCCTTGCAGCACAAGTGTTTTTAATAACAAACCACATGAAGTAGATGAGGGACAGACTACAAATGGAAATCCACAAAGGTAACGTTCTGGTACATGCAAGCTGACACCTAAGCACTCCACAGTGCTGATTCTGGCTCACATAGTGCTGTATTTTGGATTTTTGGTGATGAAAAACAGTGTTGACAACACAACGATGCTTACATACTGCTGAACTGAATCAAGGGCTCCTCTGCTTCTCATACTACCCTGATACTTCAGAAGCTGAGGAAGCACAACAAATGGGGAGGGTACACTGTCAGGAGCACTGAGCCCAAATAACCAAAGGATTCCATACCACAGGACCTTGTGATCAGCAATAGAAGCTAGGGAGGAAGGAAGAGGAAGGGGGAAATCCCATACTACAGGGCATCACCCTCAGCAATGAAAGCTGTTGGGGGACAGGAGAAGGCATTAAGAGTTACAGCATCTGTCTGCCCCAGTAAATAACCATCACATGTGATGGAGCACTGCTCTGATGCAAAAGGCTGCCAATGGGAAGCAGTGAATTAATTCCTTACTTTGCTCTACCCGTGTGCGCAGCTTTTGCTTTTTCTACTTAACCATCCTTAACACAACCTAGGAGTGTCATTTTTCAAGTCTATTTAGAAACAGCTTCTGCCACAGCTGTTTATAAGTCTCTCACAATCCTACTGACTCACTGAGACCTCCAAACTCCTGTATCAGAACTCTCCCCCTTCAACTGTCTTGCCCCTAATACAAATGTGTGCTTTTGTTAAATATTCTCCATTACTAAAAGGAAAAACAGGACTAGAAATTAGTTTTAATAATTGTATGCTTTAATTCAGAAGACTGCTCATCTTCTCTGTGTTTTACCAGATTTCCTCTTTCCAGCCAGCAGATGTTTTGGCTTGGTGTCAAAGATGTGCCTGTCTGCCTCTCCTTTCCTGCCCAGGCGATTCATTTTCTTTTGAGCCTTCTTTGCCATAGTCTTGACTTTCTTCACCATCTATTTAAAAACAAGCATACAAACACATGACTTCCTCAGTAGCTCAGGTAACTAGCTTTACCCTTTAAAAAAAACACAAAGGATTTTCTAGAACATGAAATAATACTTCACGTAAGAAACCATCTGCTACTCTAGAACACTATCAGTATGACACTAATCTCTCTTAAAAACAAACAAAACTCTTCCCCAACACACTAAAAATGCAATCATGCTACGCCTGAAACTCCAATCTTATTAAAGGTAGAGCCCTTCTAATAGGTTATGAAGTATGTACAGATTATACCATTCTTTCTTCATACTTAACATTTAAAAAGGTGCTTCCTTTGTATTATTACATCTTACTGTTAAGAATGGTTTTTTTTTGTTTTTTTTTTTTTTAAGAACAGAGAGTTCAAAAGATCAGAAGATGAAGCTGCAAAGAGAGATGAACTCTCAACTGCAAAACGGCCCTAGTATGAAGTTTCCCAGAAACCAGTTTAAGTACAACGATGCTGTTTCATTTGCTGTAAAAGGTAATTAGCTCTAACAAACCTTTTCGTCACGCAGACCAGAGACATCCCGTGGTGGACGAGAGGAGCTGCGACTGCGTGCCACAGATCTAGGGGTTTCAGACTCATCACGTTTACGTTTCCTTGTAACACTACGAGACCTTCTGGCATAATGGGCCTGAAATCCAGAACAGCACTTGGGTTATTAACAATCAGCTCCATTTCTAATGAGACCAATAGGAAAAATCAAAACAGGAAGTGAAATGCTACAATACATTGTCAAAGGACAAGTGGTTCTTTTGAATACTGAAAGACAAAAAGATGTGAAGTTCCACAGTTATTCCACAGTATCATATCTTATCAACTGCTGGTCATTGTCTCACAGTAATATTCAAGTCCTAGTGAATACTATTATATCCTTTTCAAAATTAACTCCAGTTTTATAAACCTTTTTTTTTGCCACTTCATCCATAAGTAAAGGATTAAAAAAAAAAACCCACAAAGGAATGAATAGCAATACTGAAGCAGTTCTGCAACAGCAAAAAAGCAACGACAAAACCTGCTCTGATTAGTGGCTGTTTACAGGACAAAACCCCAAAGAACTATCAGCGTACAGCGTAAATATCAAATTCCTTTGCACAGAGATAGCAACTGAATCAACATGGCATATCAGCCCTGAGAAGCACGAATGCTTACTTCAGATGTGCAATGTTGACATTCCTTGTTTCCAAAGCCCTTGCTCAGTAAACAAATTCAAGGTCTCAAGCTCCACACAGCCATACTACTGCTGGATTTGCTGTACAAAATGGAGTAGTTCTTAAAATTTATGATAAAACAAAATGGCTCCCAAAGGTTCAAAGTACTTTGACTGCCTTACATAAAAAACTCCAGCCAGGCTATTAAAACTTCAGTTATAAGTCACAGCATTAATGAACTGTAAAAGGATCAGCTCGATCTGTCATTATTGCTAATTCTGACACAGCTGTGCCTCACAAAGCAATCATGAAAATCATTCAGCCAAATCCTATTCTTGAATCCTACACAAACTGCAAACAACTTGTAATAGAATGCAGTGTGTATGTAAAAGGAGTGATTCTATTCAAACATTAGCAGTTTTCAGCCAACACTCAAAAAAATACCAGTATTGACTGCCTATTTTCTTCTCAGCAGATCCCATCTCTCTCTCATGCCAATTGCAATGTGCAATTCAAGTGTCCTTGAAAAAAATGGAGTGGAACTGATCTCCTTCAGATAAACACAGTGTTAAATTAGCAGAAAACTTACATCATCTTTATTAGTCATGTCAAGTCCAAGATCGGTCATTTCTTTCTCTAGCACCTTCCGCTGCACCTGGAAAAAGAATTAGG